ATCTGTATGTCTAGTTTGGAAAAATGTATAATTATTATATCTTCATCCCATTTTTTCAAGTTTATTTTTTGCTATTGAGTTGTATGTTTTGGATGTTAGCTCCTTATGAGATACACAATTTGCAAGTATTTTTCTCATTTTAGTAGGTTGCCTTTTCATTTTACTGATGGTTTCCTTTGCTCTGCAGAAGCTTTTTAGTTTGATGTGGTCCTGTTTATTTATTTTTGTTTTTGTTGCTTTTGCACTTGGTGTCAGATTAAAGAAATCATTGGCAAGATCTATGTCAAGGAATCTACCATCTATGCTTTTTTCTAGGAGTTTGATGGTTTCAGGTATTATGGTTCTTTCAAGTCTTTAATCCATTTTGAGTTAACTTTTGTCTATTGGATAAGACAGTGGTCCAGTTTTACTCTTTTATATGTGGCTATTCAATTTTCCTAACAATATTTATTGAAGAGACTGTTCTTTCTCCTTTGTATATTCTTGTCTCCATTACCATAAATTAATTGACCATATATATGTGGGTTTAATTATACGCTCTCAGCTTTGTTCCATCAGCCTATGTGTCTGCTTTTATGCCAATGCCACACTGTTTTTATGAACTGTAGCTTTGTAATATAGTTCGGAATTAAGAGGTGTGATGCTTCTGCTTCTGTTTTTTTTTTTCTCGAGATTGCTTTGGCTATTTAGGATCTTTTATGGTTTCATATAAATTTTGGGACATTTTGGTGAAAAATGTCTGGAATTTTGGGTAGTATGGACATTTTGACAATATTTATTCATCCAATCCATGAGTATGAAATATGTTTCCATTTATTTGTGTCGTCTTCAATTTTTGATGTTAATGTTCTGTAGTTCTCAATATACAGGTTTTTGCTCCCTTGGTTAAATTTATTCCTAAGTATTTTTTAATGTAATTGTAAATGAGATTGTTTTCTTAATCTGTCTTTCTGAGAATTTATTATTAGTGTATAGAAATGCAACAAACTTTCATTTATTAGTCCTCACAGTTTTTCTGATGGACACGAAGACCGTTAGTGTAGAATTGGAAAGGTTTTTTCCAGCAGCTCCGGGAAAGACGATCCCTGGGGCGGTTGGCTCTGTGGTTCCCTGAGCTTCTCTCTCAGAAAAGAGCTGCCCGTCTCTGATGACAGGCTTGCATCGCGTCCCCTCCGGTGTCAAGTGCACGGTCAGGGCATTTTATGCTGGTTTTGTCTGAGTGAGGAGAACTCGGAAGCAATCTGTAGGGTTAGGAGATTTGATTTCAGTCCTTTGTCTCTCTGGGATTATGTTTCCTCCTCTGCAAAATGCTGGTGTCAGACTAAAGCTGTGATTTCTGAACCACGGTGCTGTGCAGAGCCTCAGGGTGTTATGCTGCCCCCTGCTGCCCCCTGCTGCCCCCTGGGAGGGGGAGGGAGAGGACCTCGGCGTTCCGAGCCCCGCTGCCCCCCGCCCCCCGGCTTCAGTCATTCACTTCTCTATATACTGGACTTACATTTGAGTAAAGAATTATATATATATACACACACACGCACATGTATACACACACACACCCATATACTTTATACATATATACACACACACACGTATTCCCATATACTTAACATATAGAATACATATGTAAAAAGTTTGAAAATTAATACACCACGTTAGCAGTCCTCAAACATTTTGGCCCTAGGACCATTTTACACTAAAAAATTATTGAGGAATCCAAGGGCTTTTGTTTCTGGTGTTACATATGTTGATATTTCTCTTGTTAAATATTAAAAGAAGATGAAGGGAGCGGCCAAAGACGACATATGCATAACCCACAGATGCAGACAACAGGGTGGGGATGGTCAGAGGGAAGGGGGCTGGGGGCCAAGGGAGGGAAAACGGGGACATCTGTAATAGTGCCAGCAATAAAAATAAAGTTAAACACATTAAAATAATAGAATATCTATGTTTTCCAAAACCAAAATAATTAGTCAGCATCATTGTATTACTTGACGTTTTTGCGGATCTCTTTGAAATCTGGCCTAATGGAAAAAGCTGAATTCTCGTATCTGCTTCCCCATTCAGTCCTCTGTGCTAGCACATGTTACGTAGCCTCTAGAAAACTGCACTGTACACTCCTGAGAGAAAGAGAGTAAGAAAGGCAAATACCTTCCTGGTGTCTTGATGAAAATAGTTTTACTTCACAAACCCCCTGAATGGGTCTCAGGGACTTCCCAGAGTGCACTTGGAGAGCCACTGCGCAGGGAGCCACGCCCACCTGTCCCTACCCCAGAGCGCCCCCTGCAGCGTGGGCCTGCCCTTACAACCCCTGGCCAGCTCTTAGGGGACAGGTGGGGGTCTTTTTGACATGCTTTCTCTTCTCTAGGTCATGGAATTTCATTTTATCTCTTCGTAGGCGTGTCAAAACAAAACAATCCCAAAGTTTTTAACTTAAAGAGGAAGATTTTATCCTTTATTAAAAGCATCATTATAACATTAATTATCATAGGTCCCTACAGAAACAAGATTGCATTGGCCTTGGCAGATATTATTCAAGTGTCACCAACATTCTCTTTTGCCCACTGCAGCAACGTCACCAAGAGTCCAGCCGCGAGCCTTTCAGCTGCCAGCCTTGCAGGATGGCACGCGGAGAGTGAAAGGGCAGGCATCGTGTAGGTTTCTGACCCGATGAGTGCAACCGCCTGCTTGCTTTGGTCACCGTAGGAGTTACACTGCCGAGAGCTAACATCACCATGCCTTCCTGACCAATAATCAGTGGAAAGTTATTGGCTCACATGCTTGTTGTCTCTTACCTCCAACATACCTCTGCTCCCTTTTCATTGGTCCACACAAGCATGTGACCAGACACCTTCCAGGTGCCCATTAGCAAGAAGGCATGGCAAAGTCGGTTATTGTGTGCACTCTAAAAATCAGGTTACTGCTGGGCTTGCTGGTGAGCACCGTCCTGGGAACACTGTCACAAATAACCGCACGGGGTGTGGGGAGCTAAGGGGGAAGTATCACCGAAAGAATAGAAAGATCTTATGTAATAATAAATCTCCTTCCTTAATCTTTTGCCAAGTGCATTTTTCCTCTAACAAAGGCTCTTTTGTACTGGCAGGAAGATAAGGTGGAAAGTTCTTAAAGGTAGAAACCAAGTTTGTGTGTGTGTCTGTGTGTGTACCCGCCACACACTGAGCATTTCGAGCAAACGTGGGCTACCATGGGTACTGTATCACTTACGGATCTTAGACCCCATCAGAAGGTGGCGTGCCTACATATATAGACTGTGTGGTACCCTATATATACTATATGCCCTCATCAATTGTTGATGGGAATGTAAACTGTTGCCACTACTTTGGAAAACAGTTCTCCAGTTCTTTGAAAAGTTTATTAAAAATAGCGTTACCATATAACCCAGAAATCCCACTTCTAGGACTATCTCGCCCAAAACCTGATAATATATATCTACACGAATAAACCCTGTACATCCACGTTCATAGCAGTGTGACTCATAATCGCCACAAAGTGGAAACAACCCAAATGGACACAGTAATGAGTGGATAAACATAATGTGTTGGATGTAATGAATATCATCCAGCCGTGAAAAGGAATAAAGCACTGATCCCTGCCAATGCCTGAGACTGCAACAACATTGAACTTGGAAAGCATTATGCCAAGTGAAAGAAGCCAGACACAAATGGCCACACATTATGGGATTCCATTTACATAAATGTTCAGAATAGGCAAGTTGATAAAGACAGAAAGAGATTAGTGGTCACAGGGATGGGGGAGAGGAGAATGGGGAGGGACCGCCACTGAAGGTATGTCTTCTTCTGGAGATGATAAACATGCTGTGGAGGTTGATGGCGGTGACGGCCGCAGGACGTGGCGAATATACTAACAGCCCCTGAACTATGCACTTGAAAAGGTTGAGTTCAATGTCATGATATGTGAATATATTTCCATTTTTTCAAAAACTACTCTTTTTCTTACCTAGCTTAAGGAGAACTGAAGAATTTAACAGTTGTTAGAGACTCATTGAAACTCCAGGAGGGCTAGAGTGTCAGGTCTGTGGGCTAGGGGGCTGGGGACAGCAACCCAATTACCCTGAGGCGGGGGGGGGGGTCCCCTGCACTGCCCTTAGCGCATGTCCGGCAGCTCGCACACCCCGCCCCCAGTCCTGAGGGTAGGGTGCCAGTAGGTGCCCTGTCTGCCCTGCTGTTTCTGAAACAGTCTCTTTACCGTCCTAAGTTCCACACGGCACCTCCTCCATTTCTCCACTGTCTTCTGGGTCACAGGCACATCTCATCAGACAAGCACAGGCCATTGGCCTTGACCTTGACTAAAAGGCAGCCCAGGAAAGAGAATTTCCAGCCTCTTCCCTGGGAAGGTAGGATTCTCCAAGTGGGAAGTTCCTCAAATATTAGAGCCTTTTTTTTGTTTTTACGGTGCTGATCAAAGGGCACGAGAAGTTTCCAATAGAGGTGTCTTCCCACTTTAAGGTTATATCATTTCTATTTTAATGGTGCTGCACTTTTTTAGAATGATTGGTGGGGAGGCTTATTTCAACGGATGAAGGGCTGAGTTATACCAAGAGAACCTTGGGAGACAAACATGGAGAAAGGAACAGTGTGTTGAGCCAAGAGCTATGTCTTCTTTCACTTATCCAACACATTGCTATATATTTTAAAACATCTATGGATGCTGGGCAAAGTGCCAAGCCTGGGAGACACAACCGTGAAGAAGACGCATACGTAAGACCTTAGCTCTCGAGCTCCTTAGGCTACGTGGTGAGGCAAGCAGGAATAATGCTGCGTGCCAAGCAAAGAAATGGGATATGAACAGAAACGCAGAGGAGGCATAACTGTTAGATTAAAACTCCAGCTTCCTCTTTCGTTAACAAATGAAGCCTCCTCCGTATCAGCGGGAAAGCGAGGGCCTTTTATGGTCCCTAGGGAAATGCGTTCCTCACCTCCAATTGCCGTCGGCTCTACAGGGCAATAAATCAATCCTGGCAGCAGCTGGCTCTGTCAGCCCGGCCACCTTTGCTCAGTGCTCCCGAAGAACCACCGAGGGACAGTCACAGCAAATAAGAAGACACGGTTATGAGGTGAGTGCGTTTCCCCACCCAGGTGGTGCTTGGCACAAGCCGTGTCCCTGTGCTCTTGTAAAACGTCCCCGGCTCCTTCTCTGCAAAGCGAGCTGGACAACCCGTACCTTCCCTCTGGTCCTGATGTTTCCTGCCCTTTATATACACAGTGAGGAGAGGGAAGAGCTAGTGCGTGGGGTCACAGGCTGCCTGGAGACAGGTGTGTGTGTGTTTGGGGGACAGAGGGGGAAGGTCCAATGTGTGATGTCTCTCTCACTGGGAGAAACCGAGGAAGGAGGAATCAGATGGGATCCTTCTGGCAGCGGGCTGACAGCAGCAGGGGTTGAGTTAGGTAAACACGTCTCTCCCGGCAGAGAGGGAAATGGCTATGTAGTGATTAAGGTTTTTCATAATAACCTGGATCTCTATTATTCTAAAGTTTTGTTCGATGCAGAAAAGTGGCTTTGAGCGGGGAGGGTTTCTAAGTAGGGAAGAATTTCTACCGTGAGGAATCTCCACTCCTGCCTGCTTTCTGGGTGACGATAGTTCCCACGACAGGAACAATGCCTGGGAGTGTCCCCGGAGTGTCCCCGGCCTCAGCCTCAGGTGCTGACCCGGCTGCCCCAGGAGGGGGAAGCAGCTGTGGCAGAGGTGCCTGCTTCTGGCCTGCAGCGGCTGGAAAGGAGGGCCTCCCATGGAGAGGAGCAAAGGAGTCTCACCGACCGCCAGTGGGTTTGCTGTGTCGTTGAGTCACGCACCGTAGGCGTAAGAGACTAAACTAGGCGTTGTGAGCAGGTGGGGGCGGCTCTCAGACTGCCTTCACCTTCTGAAATTCCACCTTTGGTGGTTCAGCCTCCAGATCTTCCAGCTCTGCAGTCGAGGTGACCTTGTGGAGAGAGTATTCAAGGACTGGTGTGAGGAGCAGGGCCGCTGTGCCTCGGTGCTACTACTCACTGTGGTTAGACAGACTTCCCGGCATTAATTTATACAATGGGAATCTTGATGGCCTGCGTTAACCTAAAAATAAGGAGCCGAAGTGAGAAGCAGCAACTCGGGAACACAGATTCAGGCAGAAGCCCATACTGTGTCCCAGTTTCCGGGTGAGGATGAGGGGGTTTATGGGACAGGAAGGGAGATTATCACATAAACAGAGGAAAGGACTTCCTACTGTTGTTAACAGCTGAGTTGCTCCTTAGCATACATGGCTGGTTACGAATCCTAAGAAAGTCAATAATATTATCGGTCCTTGAGGTCAGGATGTCTGCTTTCTTGTTAGCTTGCAAACAATGTTTTGTGAAACAATGTTGCTATGACCCAGCCCAAAGGTTATTTTGCCTATTCCCGACATTTCAAAGGTTCAAGGGCAAGATGGGAAGGTGAGTTCTCTGGAAGGGCTTTTCTGGCTTCATTTTCAAATGGCTGAACTCATGTCAACTTTCACACATGCCTGATCAACTTTGATACGGGGATATTTTGAGAAAATAATAAGATGATATATATCTTATCGGGATTAGAATAAACCTTAGAACATTTTAAACGAGAGGGGAGACACCTAGCAGATAGATTTAGGCTAATGAGAAGGAATAGTTATGCACTCCAACTTCAATCCCCAACCCCAAACCTCACCTCACCTCCCCGTTAGAAAATTATTTGTAGATTCTTGCTTCTCACCTCATTTTACAATTAAGGTGCTTCTTTTCTTGGCTCATTACACATTAACCTAAAGGCTGCCTCAATTAGCAAGTGAAACTGATATGTATATGAAAATACTTGGAGAAATGGTCATGGCCTTGGGCTGGGTTTGAGGCAAGCAGGGCGGCACAGAAATGGAAATATAAAGGAGAAGTGAAGTTTAAAAAATCAGAGAGAGAGAGAGAGATCCATGAGATAGAGAAACATTGATGGGTTGCCTACCGTACACGCCGTGACTGGGAATCAAACCCACAACCTAGGTATGTGTCCTGACCAGAAACAGAAACTGCAGCCTTTTGGTGCCTGGGAGGACGCTCCAACCCACAGAGCCACCGGGCCAGGGCAGGAGTTCTCAGTCTAATCAGGATGGGTATCTATTCTTTTCCATTGAGGGGACTTTGTGGTTTGCTTTAATCCTGTTTCCTGTGTCCCTCCAGATGGCGAGGAAGCTCAGTGTGCTGGAAGTCATCCTGATCATCTTCTTCCTGATTGTGTTGGCCGTGGATGTCTTCTTGCTCTTTCTGGTGCTGGAGAAACCGTCAGGTAAGGGTGATGCCGTGGCTGCTGGGTTGGGAGAACCGGTCAAGGAAGTCCCTTCTGGACGCCAAAGAAATCTTTCAAATTCCTTCACTCTCCGGCACGCTGCCATATTGCATTGTTTTCAGTTCACATCCATGACTAATTTAAGCCAATCCCCCGAAGATGTGTTCTTTTTCTGCAACTAAACCTCGAGTGCTAGTGATATGCAGGGTGTCACGCGTCCCATTCGAAGCAATTTTAACAAGAGGCACAAGGAGGTTCATGAAATGCCTGTTTTTCAACCTAGCGTCAAGAAGTAATAGAGACTTCAATAACGGTTGAGGTAGCAGTGCCCAATCCCATTACACTGTGGGAAAGCAGATTAGGTTACAGGAAAGTTTAGGAAAGTTTGGACTGATACACACTTGACCTACATTTATCAGCTCCAACTACCCGCCAGCCCATATTCCGATCAGAATAGCTATGATTTCTTCATAGAGACCTTTGAAACTGTTTTTCGTCTCTCACAGAAGCATCAAACAGAACGCCTCCTCCTCCAAACACATGTTATAGATGAAATAAGAAAAAAAATCTGTAATACGTGCTATACTTTAAATATGAAGCACAAAAATCTATTCTCAAGATGAAATCTGAGGTTTGTTCTGCTCGGTAAAGCTCACTGTATAAAGGCAGATGAAGCACACGATAAGGAGGTGTTATACTGATGGCGGAACTCCGCCTGCTCCATCTCTTCACCACTCTCCACAGCAAACTAAAGACTTTCTAGGGACAATTATGACTTTGCAAGATGATTTGAAATCCACTGACACAAGCCATTTTTAGCCCTTTGCTACTTTTTCCCTGTAAAACTTTTTTTGGGTATCGTGCCCCCTGAGATCACTATCCAGTACAGATAAATAAGTAGTTTCTTTTATTCAACATAAAGTTGGCTCTGCATACCTCATTCATTCTAAACCACACTCTAATCCATGTACGATAGCTCCAGTTTTAATTGTTTTGCACGGTGGACTGCTCCTGGTGTGTTTTGTGAAGATATGTTTCCATGACTTGAAAAGGAGCTTTTATTTAATTTTTTTTATCATGGTAAGAACTCGTAAATGAATTTTATCCTCTTAATATGTTTTCCAGTGTCTAGTACACCATTGTTATCTATAGGCACAATTTTGTACATCAGCCCGATAGAATTTATTCAGTTTGCACAGCTGAAATTTTATATGTATTAATTAGCAATGACCCATTTCTCCCTTCTCCCAGCCCCTGGCTACTACCATTTTCTGCTTCAGGAACTTTGGCTTATTTTTGATACAACATATAGATGGAATCATACAGTATTTGTCCTCTGTGCCTGGCTTATTTCGCTTCAAATTGTGGTGAATGACCAGATTTTTTTCTTTTTTTAAGGCTAGGCAATGTTGCATTTCATGTAGTAATAGTCCACATATATACCATACTCTCTCTACCCCTTCATCCACCAGTGGACGTTGGGGAGTGTTCACACCTGGCTATTGTGAGTAGTGCTGCTGTGATATGGAAATGCTAGTAGTTCTTCTAGGTATTGATTTGAATTCTTTTGGATGAGTACCCAGAAGTAGGATTGCTGGATTATGTAGTACCTGGATTTTTAATTTTTTGAGGCACCTCCATAATGATTTCCACAGTGGCTGCACCAGTTTGCATCATTCGCACCATCAGTATGCAATCGTTCCAGTTTCTCCGCATCCCCACCGATTCTTGTTTTCTTTTGTTCGTTTGTTTTATAAGAGCCAACCTAACAAATGAGCTGATCTCTCATTATGGCTTTGGTTTACATTTCCCTGATGCTTAGTGACATGGAGCATCTTTTCCCATACCTGCGGGCCACTGGTATGTCTTTCTTAGAGAAACGTCAATTCAAGTCTTTAACTCATTCTTTTTAAATCAGGTTATTCATTTTTGTTTGTTTTATTTTTGATAGCGTTGTAGGAGTTCCTTATGTCTTTTAGAAATTGCCCCTTTTCAGACACATGGTTTACAAATGTTTTCCCCCATTCCTTAGGCTGCCTTTTCATCCTGTCCATGGTTAGTTGGTTGGCCGGTCGGTTGGTTTTTGGTGTGCAGAAGCTTTTTAGTTTGGTGTGGCCCCATTTGTCTGTTTCTGCTTTTGTTGCCTGTGCTTGTGGTGTCATATCCATGAAACAATTGCCGGGACAAATCTCAGGAAACATTTCCTCAACTTTTTTTTTCTAGGAGTTTTGCAGTTGCAGGGGTCTTACGTTTAAGTCTTTAATCCAACTTTAAAACAATTTTTTATTTAAATATATACACAAACAAGTATAGAGCCATAAAGGTAGTAGAGATGTTTCAAAGTCTTCTTTAAAGAAAAAACAGAGGTATTCAAGGGCATCTGTTGTGCCCACGGTAACTATTGCTTCAAACCTCAGATGGAATCTGGGTTTGGCATGCTCATGGGGCCCACTGAACCTGACCCCACTTCTGATGTTGTTCCATGGAAGGGGAGGGGAGTTTTGCAAATGTGGGAGAGGCCAAAGGAAGGACAGCATGTTCAGTGAAAGTCTTTATTTCACATGGGGCAATAATATCTTCCCAGTTCATCTCATAGATTGTTGAAAGTGAGTGGAAAAAAACAACAGACAAAGAACTGTGCAGCAACTGGATAGTCACGGGTAAAAAAAATAATTTTGGATCCCTACCTGATATCATACATGAAAATTAACTCAAAATGGATCAAAGGTTGAAATTTAACAGCCCCAAATAAAAAACTCTAAGAAAACATAGGTATAAATATTTGTGACTTTGTGTTAGGCCACAGTTTCTTAGACGTGGCACCTGAAACCTAGCAACTGAAGCTGAAAGAGGCAACTTGAACTTCAAAATGGAAAAATGTTGTGCTTCAAAGGACACTATCAAGGAAGTATAAGGACAACTCACTGAATAGGAGAAATACTTTCAAACGACATGTTTGACAATGGTCTAGTATTTAGACTATATAAGGAAACCTTACAGTTCATAAAGGACCCATTTTTTAAAACGAACAAAGGATTTAAACAGACATTTCTTCAGAGACGATCAGCAAATATTCAGCATCACTGGTGTTTTGAGGAATGCAAGTCAAAATGAAATACCCTTCCTACCCTCATAAAAGCACAGCCAACAGCAAGTGTTGTTGAAGATGGAGAGAAATTGGAAGACTCATACCCCGCTCATGGGACTATAACCTGGTGCATCCCCTTTGGAAATGAGACTGGGAGTCTCTCCAAAAGCTAAATAAAGGTAGAGTTAACTATATTCCTTAGCAACCCCACTTCCAGGTATAGAACCAAGAGAATTTAAAATATATGTCCACACAAAAACTTGGATGTGAATGTTCACAGAAGAATTGGGTATAATAACCAAGAAGTGGAAACCACCCCCATGTACGTCAGCTGATGAACAGGCTTAAAAACCGTGATGGCCATACAGTGGAACGTGGTTCAGCCATGAGAAGAAACGAAGTAGTATTTTATGCTGTAACATGGATGAACCTTGAAAACATTATGCCAAAAGAAAGAAGCTAGACACCAAAGATTATCTACTTTATGATTTCGTCAGTATGAAAAGTTCAGAATAGGCAAATCCATAGAGACAGAAAACGGATTAGCGTTTTCCAGGGACTGGGAGGAGAGGGGAAGGGCATGACCGCTAAACGGGGTGTGTGATTTCTCTGGGGGTTAATGAAAACGCTTGGCATTGGGTCGTAGTGATTGGTTACACAATTTTGTAAAATTAAAAAAAAAAAAACATGGAATCGTACACTTTAAAGAGGTGAGTTTCATGGCATGTGAATTCCCTCTCAACAAAACCCAACCAAACGGAAAGCAGATGTGTTTGACCCCTGGAGAATGTATCCAGATGTAGATACCAGCTAGTCGTGACCACAGGCCGGAGAACCGGCCGCAGCCGGCCCTGTCACGGCCTGATTCCTCCCCAGAACTGTGATTACGCCGCGGATGTTTAACTTTGCGCTTTAATTCCTCTGCAGATACTTCCTTCATCCCACAGTGCCCAGCGATCCCCGAATCCGACAGGATAGACTGCGCCCCTGGTCAGACGGCGACAGAGGTCAGAGAAGGGGGCTCCCCGCCGCTGGCCGCCTGGGTTTTATTTGTGAGAAATGAGTGTGTGCAGTGGGCGAGGGTGGTGGTGGGGTGGGCTGTGCGCCTCCGATGTGTTCGGAGTTCATTCGCCCTTGCCGTGTTGAAATAAACAGCAGCGCTGTGGAAGTGGGCGGGGGGGGGGGGGGGGGCAGGGCAGGGTGGAGGGAAGGGGAGGGGGAGCTCACGGGACTGTTGGCCCCGGAGAGTCTAAAGTCCAGAGTCATTGGAAGTTCCCAGTGCGGTTAAATGGGTCAGGAGTGCAAGGGCGAGGGCAGCCTTGGACGGGTTTTTGTGGGCTGGGCCTTGTATCCCCTGAGACTAGAGGCCATCAAGCACATTTGGGCGGCCGAGTCGCTTGGCGGACTCAGTGGCGTGTTGGAACAAGAGCCTTCTGGAATCATATTAGTGGCAGGAGACCCCAATGGACATGGGCTGAAAAACAGACTTTTCCCCCTGAGTAGTTTCTACAAGAAAATCAGCTATTTGAATCCTGCTAGTTTTGATTAAAAGCTTTGTAAGAAAGGTTGTATACACTGAGATTTTATTCCTTTACTTCATATTTTATATTCTATATCCCATAATATCCTATTGGGATATTAACAAGTACTGCATTAAATTTTAGGTTAAAATTAGACAGTATTCACATTTCCATAATTTTGAATCTTCCCATTTTAAAACATAAAAAGTCTCTCCAGTTTAACTCATAGATATATATTTCTCAACTAAGTTTTATGTTTTTCTTAATATGCACTATATTACATATACATTATGAAGCTTTTTCCCAGCTATTTCATCTGCATAGTTCCTATTGTGAATACAAACCATCATGTTTTCTAAGTGGTGCTAGACTGTGTTATTGTGATGGCATTGAACATGAAAAAAGAAGAAGGAAATACGTAGGGTGAAGCAAAAGTAGCTTTATAGTGTCTTGCATGGAAAATGATACAATAATTAATAAATAAATAATAATAATAATACAAAGAATAACCTGTGTTTTGCATGCTTACAACTGTAAACCTAGTTGTTTTTTTATTTTTAATTTATTTTTTAGAGAAAGGGAAAGGGAGGGAAAAAGGCTGGGTAGAGAGGGAGAGAAACATTGATGTGTACGAAACATCAACCAGTTGCCTCTTGCACACCCCCAAGTGGGGACCTGGCCCACGGCCCAGGAATGGGCCCTGAGCAGGAATTGAACCAGTGACCCTTCAGTTCACAGGCCAGGGCTCAATTCACTGAGCCACCCCAGCCAGGGCTGTAACCCTACTTTTGCCCCACCTTGCATATCTCTCAAAAGTTTGACCTTTGATTTCTGGGGTACTGATACTGGCTTAAAACTGAAATAGGGATGTTAGGGAAGACTACATGCAAAAATGACAGTGTTAACCTGAATGTACTGGATCTCTCGTCTGACCGACTTCTACAGAGGTCTGTAGACTTCGGAACAATTTATGACAATGAAACTGACCTTTTGAACTTGGCAGACCTCAGTTTCGGAGGTAGCAGAAGTGTCTCAGACGTAGGAAGTCCGGTTCTCCAGAGGCTACCCGTACCCCCAAACTCCTTCTCCACGGAACCCTTGGCCTTTTGTTTTCCGAATGTAATTTACATATATGGAGAGCAAAGGGATACATTTAAGGAGACTTTATAGTTATAATGTGATTGCTTTGTTTATAAGAGGCCCAGAACGTTGATTTAAGTTGTATTCCTGTTGCGGTTTTTCAGAGCCATGACGTCAGGTGTTGGCATCTAACATACTTGTCAGCGCTCTACCTTTTCCAAAGGGGTAGTGTTGTGACGTATGCTTTTTTTATCACAATGTCTGTATGGACACATTCTCTTAAAAAGAAAGATTCAGGTATTGTAGTTATGTACAGAAAGAACAGGAAAGTCCTATTCATAAAGTTTCTTTTCTACCTCCAAACTCACTCCCCAGAACCAGTCGATAGCGTGGTGTGTATTTTTCTCTGGGCTTTCTATGTTTTTGCATTTACTCACATGTTTTGCATTTATGTAGATTTGATTCTACTGTGTGTACAGGGTCTGGCAGAAGTAATGCCTGCCTGGTAGGGTAACACTATGGGTGTAATAATTTATAGTTTTAATTTGAACATTTCACCTAAAATGCCATCTGGTGTGCTTGAGTGTGATATTGTTATTTTACCAAATTACATGCTTATGATTTTGTACTAAAAGATTTTGTAGTAAAAAAGGGTTGTTATTTGTGCCAGGCCCTGTATTATTTTATAATTCACTTTTTAAATTTAGGACATTTAAATTTACTGTATTATTGTATTTTTAAAATAGTTTGCTTCTGTTTAGATGATCATATGATTTTCTCTTATCAATGTTATAAATTGCATTAAAAGATTTCTTAATTTTGAACCATTCCAGCTTTCTCTTGATAATCCTTACTTGGCTATTATGCATTAATTTTTTAAATGCACTAATGACTTCAAATCTAACATTTAATTAAAATTTTATACATCGTGTTTTTAAGTGAAACTGTCTTGCTTAATTGTCTATTTGGACTTTCCTTGTCTAGTTGGTGGTTAGAATTATTCTGGTTTAATAAAATGAGTCAGGAAACTTTCCACCTTTTCCTCTGTCCTTAAAAGGCATAGACATATAATATGAGAATATTCTGTTCCCCAAACTATCTGGACAAGATACCATTGTTTGGGGAAATATCTTGGATGACCTTTTATAGTTTCCCATGGCTACTGGTCCATTGAAGGTTCTCTATCTCTTCTCATTTTCAGTCTTTAATATTTTACTCTTTACAGATTCAAAGTGCATTTTTGCATACATTGGCAAATATGTATACAAATAGTTGTCTCATCATTATTATTTGGGTTAAAAAGTCATACGTATCTGCTGTTGTTCCCCATTTTTACTACTAACCATGTTCGTCTTCTTTTTGTCAGCATAGTATTGGATAAGAAAAATTCATATTTCTTTGATCTTTTCCTTGAGATTCATTGATCTGCCAAACTAAGAGCCAAACATGTCCTCACACTGTAGTAATGATCAGTGTGGCATTGCAGCAGGAATCGATACCTGTGCCCCTGGAATGTCATAGAACATCTCAAAGTGCCTCTTCACGTTCTCATATGTGTGCACTTAAATTTAGTTTAGAACAAAAGTGGCATTTCACATCAGTAGTGGAAACAAGGTCTATTGAGGTGACGGTGGAGTCTGTCTCATTTGCAAGGCTTGCAGACAGCTCCCTGTCACGTGACCTTAGATGACTACCTGTAACAGAGCAGGTGCTCACTTCCTGTTTTAACCTCCATGCTGACCTGACCTAGAGCACTGCTTTTCCTCTTCTTTTTTTAAGTATTTTTTTATTGATTATGCTATTATAGTTTTCCTAATTTTTCCTCCTTTCTCTCCCTCAACCCTGCCCCTCCAGCCCTCCAGCATTCTCTGCCCTGTAGTTTGTGTCCATGGGTTGTACACATAAGTTCTTTGAGTCCTGTTTCCTATACAATTTTTTATCTCTCCCCATTTTATGCCTACTAATTATGCTTCTTCTTCCCTGTACCTTTCCCCCACTATTCCTCCCTTCTCCCTCCCCACTGATAACCCTCCATGTGATCTCCATTTCCCTGATTCTGTTCCTGTTCTGGTTGTTTGCTTAGTTTTTGTTTTTGTTGTTTTTCTTTTCTTTTAGGTTCCTTTGTTGGTAGTCATGAGTTTGTTGTCACTTTACTGTTCATATTTTCGATCTTCTTTTTCTTAGATAAGTCCCTTTAACATTTCATATAATAATGGCTGGGTGATGATGAACTCCTTTAACTTGACCTTCTCTGGGAAGCACTTGGTGCTTCAGGCTATGAGTACATTTTTCCCCGGAGTTGATAAGATCTAGTGTCTGTGTTTCAGGAGTTTCATAACATTCTGGTCTGCCATATTGCATATTTTGCTGTTTTATAATGAACTTAAATATTTTTTTCTTACTGGCCCTTCTGTCAACTTCATGTAAATTTAGTTGGGTGAAGAGGTGGGTGTCTGTGTTTATTTCAACATTTTGATTCAGTTTGCCATCTATTTCATTCATTATAACAAAAACAATTTTTAGATAAGTGCATCTGAAAGTGGTAGGGCCTTTAGAAAATACCTCTCACCAAAGGATGGTAACTTTAAAAATCTATCATCAAACCATTTGGAGAAGCCACATGTGATTTATTTTTGACATTGTGACATTTTGAATGTAACCCTCTGTCCTAGCTCTATCTTAGGTCTCTCTATTTTTCTTTGCTTCCTTTTTAGAAATGCGTTTCTTCCAGCTGTGTGGTTAGCCATTTCCGTGACCCTTCCTCATGAGAAAGTCCAAACTGCTTGGCCCGCGCCCAGCTCACCCCGGTGGGAATACTGAGCGCCTCCAGCCTCATTTCTCTTGCTCAGTGTTCTTGGCGCAGTGAACTTGTGGCTTTCCTGGGTCTGCTTGGACTATTGCTCCACTGTCCCCCTGTTTAACCTTTTCTCATGCATTAGGAATGAACTTACCTTTCACCTACCTGGAAGCCCTCCCCACCCCGCCGGCAGCCCGCTAGGCTGGGTACAAGGCCTGGTGTGTTCCCTCAGCCCTGGGCACAATCTGTTGGAGCACTGATCTCCTCAGACTGTTGAATGTACTACTAGTGGGTACGTGTGCTCAACGCGAGAACTGTGTCTTCTTTATCTGTATTCTTAGTTCCTTGTCTGGTAGGTAATTCAAGCATATTGCATGGCTAGATAAATGTATAAATAAAAGAGGCATGGATAAGTGACTGGAAGAATTATGAGCCATCTTAAATTCTCCCTGGGGGGGAAATGGTTATAAATACATAGACATATAATAAATAGACGTACAATACTTTTCTTCTTTCATTTCATGTAATGCTAACTCCGTGCATTGTCACAGGAAGACTGCCGGTGGCGATATAAGTGCTGCTGGAAGCCGACAGCGGACCCCAATGTCCCCAGGTGCTTCTTCCCCAGGAACTGGGGCTATGAAGTCAGTGACGGCAGCAAGAAACAGCAAAGCACAGGTGGGCACTGTGTCCCCCATCAGCTCCTTATGACCAGGTAGGTTAGCAGCAAAATAAAGGCTAAATGCTTCTCTCTCGCTCTCTCTGCTCCCTCGCCCCAGGGCTTACTGCCAGGTTGCAAAGGACACCGTCCCCATCTCTCTTTGGAAATGATATCATCGATGCCCTCTTCACAGCTGAATATCAGACGTCCCGCCGTCTCCGTTTTAAGGTCGGTTTGGTAGTTCTCGCTGCCTGTGTCTCTGGAGAAAGAGGGCCCGCTCGCTGGGTGTAGCGCATTCTCCTTTACGCCTGCGCAGACATGTGGAGGCAGAGCGTTCCTCCGTTCCTCTCTGCACTGATCTCCGGATTTGATGGGCAGGCTAATTTTTATTTGATGAGGGACACGTGATTGGGGGATTTCTCCTCGCAAATCAGGAAACACGGGGTCAGGAATGAGAAGCTATTTGCATTGGGGGCCCTGTGGGGATGAGAATGTTTTGTAGCTCTACAAAGAAATGGTCTTATCTGGAGCTGTCCCTTTGCTTGTTTGTTTGTTTCCTGACAGATCACGGATCCCAATAACGTGCGCTATGAAGTCCCTCATGAAAATATTAAGCCGTTTAATGACACAGCTGATGCCGCCAACTTGAGCTATCACATCGAGGTCACTGACAAACCCTTCAGCGTCAAAATAATGAGGACGAGCAACAACAAAGTCTTGTGAGCTGTTCAGCACTCTTGCATGTCTTTGAATATACAGTCCCAGAGTCATTCATTCCCACTTCCTGTGGGCGGGCGATGGGCTGATCGTACTTGGGAAAATGACTGAAGCGCAGAAAAATGTCAACGCTTTTAGGACCAATCATTGATGCTGTTAATTTGTTGTGATTACAGGCCAACAAAAACCTAGCATGCTGTGCACTGCTTTGCAGAGTTATATAAATATTCTTGTGTTTATGTGGGTTATGAAATAGGGAATTTTATTATTTTGGATAACCACCACTCACACTGGAACTCAGCTTCACTGTACATCATTTCAAATTATGATTTCCTGAGAAACTTACCATCAAGCCCCTAAAGCTAGCCTGAGCTTAAATCACCAATTGCGCTGGAGGAATTACAAGCATCGATGTCAGTAAACGCTGCATTCAGATGCTGGTCCTCGCGGCTCACCCGCCTGCTTGTGCCGAGGTGCAGCACCGTGATCACCTCCTCAGTCTCGGCTTCCTTGTCCACAGAAAGGGCGTCAGGACGTCACTGTGGCTACGTGTCCCGAGGTCATGCTTGTAAAGCACCCAACGCAGTGTAGACATAAAGTGAATGCACGGAAAATGTAAGGTCATGTCTGTTCATCCCCCCTGAGTTTCTAGTCTCACATCTCCAGTGCTAAGCTCCTCTAGAATGAAGGAGTCAGAGGCACCCTAGAAAGGCCTTCTTCAAAAGCATGAGAGTGGGTGGTAAGACCCGAAGCCACCGCTCTCGAAGGGCAGAGGACGGAAGCAGAGAGAACCAGAGGTAACTCTTGCCCTTTCTCCACCGCCCAGGTTGAACACGGACATCGGGCCCCTCCTGTTCGCCCAGCAGTACCTGCAGCTGTCCTTCCGACTGGCCAGCGCCAACGTGTACGGGCTGGGCGAGCACGTGCACCAGCAGTACCGCCACAGCATGGCCTGGCAGACCTGGCCCATCTTCACCCGTGACGCCGCCCCCACCCAGGTGAGGGCCCCTCCTCCCAACTGCTCGCAGTGAGGAGGGCCTTCTCCCTTTTCAGAAAGTAACCCATAGGTGAGGTAAGCTACAGAGGAAAGTGACCTACAGAGGGGCGTCTGTTTGCTACTTTGCCCAATTTAGATGTCCATGTTGGAGAGTATTTGTTCTCCTTGAGGTGTATAAACTCACAATACTAATACAACAATATAAAAAACATTTCATGTTTAAATAAAATATTATGTAATGACTATATCATAGCGGTTTGCCTTCCTCCTCCTTCCTCCCTCCCTCCCTTCCTTCCTCTTCCTTCTCTCCTACCTTTCCTTCTTTCTTCTTTGCATTTTAAATTTAGTCTGTAATCCAGCCAGGTGCTGATACCGAAACTTTTCCTGGCTATAATTTTAAATCTGGCCTAATTTTGCGCAGTTCTTCTGATCTTCTCTACTTACATATCACGCTGATTCTTTTTCTCCTCTCCTGCAATTTAGCATAATCGGTACGATTGCCCTGTACACCAAGGACTGATTTTGCAACATCCCACAGGGAGCTTCCAAAAAGCTTTCTGTATGTTATAATCTCATATCTCCTATTCTCACATCACTCAGAATTATGCACACTATCTCCTTTTATATCAGGGCCCTCATCAGGGCCCTGTGACAGGTTCAATGTATTGTCTTCATTTTTTAAAATTTTAAACTTTATTACTATCTAGGCACCATATATTTATTATAGAGTAGAAAATACAGTTAGGCATAAAGAAGAAACACAACATTTCTCATAATACCATCGCCTTCTACTAACATTTTATTCTATGTCGTTGCAAATGTTCTCCAATTTTTCAACAATAACTTGACTGAGGTATAACATGCACCGCAAACTCACTTAGGTGCACAGTGCAATGATTTCAGCGCCTCTCTGAGCTGTGCGGTCATCGCCATAACCCAGGTTTAGAAGGTGTTCATCTCCCCAGCGGGATCCCTCTACCCTCTGACACTGAACTGCTGTGTTCAGCCCCGTGCCGACTCCGGCCTCCGACAGTCACTAATCCGCTCTCTGTGTCTGTCCGTCTGACTCCTCTGGTCATTGTATGTAAGGGAAGCAAGGCCATGTAGGAGGATCCTTTGTGTCTGTTTCTTCCACTGCACACAGCGCTCATGAAATGTACTCAGGGTGTCGCACGTGTTAGCATTTCGTTTCTTGTCACTAGAGTATCCCATTGGATCGTGCACACACTGAAAATGCTGCCATTTTCACACCTTCCTTGTACGATGCTAGCTACATCCAGTGTCGACCCAGTACATGTTGTGTGTGGCTTTCGATGTGGCTCTGGGGTGAATAAAAACATTTGAGACCGATGCTATTATTTCTTTCCGTTTTTGTTGACAGGGCTTGATGAACCTGTATGGCGCTCACACGTTCTTCTTGTGCCTTGAAGACACCAGCGGCTCCTCTTTTGGGGTTTTTCTGATGAACAGTAATGCCATGGGTAGGGAGCATCTCTTTATCTTGGCAGCAGTGTGTTTGGGGAGCTGCCTCTATAAAACGGATTTGCATGGTGAGATCAGCGTTTACCAGAAAGAGTATTGGACCCACCGTTGTCCTAGGGAAACTAGAAACAGAAAGTGGTTAACCCGCCTGCAAACCCAGCTCACGCTGAAAGCTACTTTTATCAAAAACTGCTTCAGGGATCTCCTTTCATGTAATGCTTCCCGTGGTACTTTGTAGATTGTAGGGTTCATTGATAAACATGTTCCAGAGGTGCCTGTAGATCTCAACCTGCAAACCATGCTGTCCTCCACGTAGCCCAGCCCTTCCCCACTCCAGATTCTTCCCCCTCCAGCTTCTGGACTAACGGTGCTCTAACAACATAGTATTTTTCTTTTTAATTATAGGTAAAATCATCCAGGAAGGTTTTAAACATTGTTTGATTACATCACTAGCACCTCCCAGACATTTGTATTTTTAATATGGCCAAATTATTCATTGAATTTGTTCTTTTTCTTTTTTTTAAATATATTCTTTTTTAAAGATTTTATTTATTTATTTTTAGAGAGGGAAGGGAGGGGGAGAGAGAGAGAGAGAGAGAAACATCAATGTGCGGTTGCTGGCGGCCGTGGCCTGCAACCCAGGCATGTGCCCTGACTGGGAATCGAACCTGCAATGCTTTGGTTCACAGCTTGTGCTCAATCCACTGAGCTACACCAGCCAGGAAATTTGTTCTTTTTCTTAAAAACATCAATTAATTCCTCGTAGATGTTGTGTTCATTTAATATTTTGATAAACTTCAGCAATCATATAAAGGAACAGCTGTGATTTTCAAAGTAAAGCCGAGACTGTTTGGGGTAGCTCAGGTATTTAAATTCTGGGGAAGAACATATGTGCAACCATGAAATCCTAATAGCTCTTATTTTAACCCTTTCAGAGGTCACCCTCCAGCCTGCTCCTGCAGTCACCTACCGCACCATTGGGGGCATTCTGGACTTCTATGTGTTCCTGGGAGACACCCCGGAGCAAGTGGTTCAGGAGTACCTGGAGGTGAGGCTTTACAGTTAGATAGTCATTACTGATTGCTGTTACAGCCCAAGAAAAATAAAATTTGGGGGTAAATCATGGATTACAAATGTTGGGATTATCAGTCTTTCTTTTATCATATGTTTATTCTGATGCACATTTATTGAGTGCCTACTGCATACGAAGGAGTCACTGTGCAAAAAGGCTTGAGAAATGCAAAACCAGGCAGATGCTGTGCTGTTGTCCAGAAATGCACAGTCCATCCATATATGATTGGTCATTCCAAAGATCTGAGGCCACACATCAGCAAAGTTGATTCACTCACTCAATTAATAACAATTTAGTGAAAAGAAACCATGTAAAAGGAACTGTGCTATTTCTTTTGGACTCAAACTGTAAGACAGACATGAACTTTAGACATCATTTGGCCAAACTTTCTACGTTGCAGACGAAAAAACTCATGTACCCGAAAAAGGTAGTGATTTGTTCAAGATGATGCATAAAGGTATATGAAATATAGTCCAGGTGCCAGCCAATTTCTAGTCCATTAGGAGAAATATGGCAGCCTGAAATAATTATCACTGGCAACACCATATAATAGATGCCATTAATGAGGCACAAACAAGGAAACTAGGGGAATGCAGAGGCCTGAAAGAAAGCACGGCGCTGAGGGGACGGTCCTGTGGGAGGAGAGGGGCACTGACGGAACAGTACAGGACAGGACTCTGTCTGGGATCTTCTCAGAAGGGGGGCTTGAGTGACCGGCGCACTCGGGTTGCAAACATACCGCAGCATTCCTTCACCATCCCATGCTGAGTCCCATCCGTCCTTATTCGTTGGCACACACGACTACCTGAAATCCTGTCGGACATGTGTTTCTTTCCTTGAAGCTCTGTGTGAGCAGAACTGTTAGCTTTATGCCACCGTATCCCAAGTGCCTCCGTTAGCCCCTGTCAAATCACCAACAATGAGAAAATATTTATTGTGTGAATAAGTGTCTCTTCTTGCCCCCTCAGCTGATACTGTTATTCAAGCATGTTATGCAAACCCCATCATTCACTGAAGTTGCAGCTGGCTCTGGGAGTGCACATGGTACTTCGTAAAGAAAGATGGGAGCTATGGAATTTTGCAGATTATTGTCAGCGATTACTCTGGGCTCTGATATTTTAGATCTGGGAGCTTAACAGAAAGTGAAGTGCAGTCAGGGCTGTCTGTGTCAGACATGGTGCTGCAAACAGTGTTTATTCCAAATGCTTAGACGCTCCTTTACCTTTCTAGCTTGTTGGACGACCATTCTTGCCTTCCTACTGGAATCTTGGGTTCCAGCTTAGTCGCAGGGGTTATGGTAACATCCAGGGTTTGGAAGAAGTTGTAAACCGAACTCAGAATGCTGGGATCCCATATGTAAGTTGGAACTTCTCTTATGCATTTTGTATCTTTTATTTTTTTGTACCTAATTCAATTTATTAGTTAAAATATACTAGATAGATGGGTAGAGGGATGCATGGGTAGATGGTAGGATGGATAGATAGATAGATAGATAGACCTCCTCTCATAAATTTGCAAACTAAACCTATGTCATCATGGAAAGAGCACAGTTATGGAGTCAGATGGATATGATTTTGAATTTCAGCTTTCCCTCTTCTAGTTCTATGCAATGTTGGGCCAGTTAATGACCACCTCTGTGTCTCAGTTTCCCTCTTTATAAAGTGAAAATCCAAGACTTCCTCTGGCGGGCGGGCTGTGAGGAATGCCTTGTTCTGTGCACATAAAGCATGTAGCACAGAGGATGACCCCCATCAGAGTGAGCAGCTGTTCTAGAAGAGACAGTAGCTCCCGGGTGACATGGTTAATCATTGCTGATTATGATGGTGACGACTTACGGCAAGTGAGTTTCTCATAGCGACCTTGTGTGCTCCTTCCGGGTCCGGCAGACTAATTTTGAAAGCTCTGTGGTTGTAAAGTATTTATGATGTCCAATGTCCACTAGTAAATAAAAAAAGATCATTATTAAGTGTATAATATTTGCAAAGCTTCCCCCTGGAGATGCGTAACATATGGTTAATGAAGTTACCAAAGCAATCTCTGTGGGGCTTGACCTTGGGAACTGTGAGGCAGACAGACGTTTGGTTGGTATCTCAAGGAAGATGTTGCGGCTGGCAATGACTTTGGCCTGTCTCAGGAGTGTTTAGTCCCCTTTCAGAGCAGCAACGAGGTGAAATTTTTCCCCATGAGAAAACCTGCTCACTGTGTTGTTTTGTTGTTAAGGAGGAATGATTATGTATTTCGTTTTACTTCTCCCGGGTCTGCTACCTGCAAACCCCCAATTCCAGGAGGAATCAGGCCAGATCTTGCCACATCTTCATTGTTTTCTAAAATGCTCTTGCCTTCGTGGGTGACCCGCACTGACTGGCATTTTGTAAGTGGAGAAATGTAGACAGTGTGTGGGAAATAGCTTCCCTGGGGTCACTGCGGCTAGCCAAGTGGCACAACCAGGATCCTCCAAAAGTCCTGCGGCTACATGTGGGGGTGGAGTCAGTCTCCCCTCAGACCTCTGACGGGGACGGCTTGTCTGAGGTCTTGCTGATTCCGAAACAAATGAGCTTTTCTTCCACAGATTGGATCTTTCGCACCATATGTCTGTTGGGGGGCCCCTGGGTCCTACATGACTGCCCAGTATTAGGACAGATGGTGCTGCATTAGCAACAGGCCACAGGCCACATTTTCCCTCAGGCTTGTAAGCTAGAGTCTCTAAGGCACGACTACAGAAGGAACACTTACTTCAAAGACCTTCGTAAGTCTTTGAAGTAGTGGCTCACTGGAACTAAAGAGGACATGGAATCAAAGGGTCTGTCACCAAAGCCCCGACTGAACCCCTGCCCACTCCTGCATGTGACCTTGGGAGATGTCACTTAACCCCTTCACATTTCAAACTTCTCACTGAGAATAACATCTGCTCCCCTCAGCTTGGTATGTGAACACAAAAATAACGTGTGCACGAGAGTTTGGTTCGTTAAAGCTCTATCCCTTTGTCCTTTGTCTTTGTTAATTATTACCCTAGGAGTTTTATAACAGAAGGCTGTTTCCTCCTCTTACGCTATAGTCTAGCTTGACGATGTCTAGGGTCTAAGTTAGTACGTGGTTATAACATTACTTGTGGGCTCACTCAAGCAAACATTGAAAGAGCACCTGTTTTATTATGAGCATCTAAGCCCTCAAATCACAGGGACAAGCAGCCCCACTATCACGTTCCTCCCAATACCTTATGACAGGCATCTGTCAAGGCAAAGAGACAACCTAAGAGCATCTGTGTCCTTCAAGGAGGGCTTATTGACCCCTAGGAAGTAGCCAAGTCCTGGAAGTTCCAGGATCATGGAGGAAATAGGGCTTCCATTTTAATGGCCAAGAACCCGAGTGGCAATATCAGTGTGGTGCTATTGCCGGGGTGCTAACTGGCCAGCACTGTCTTCCAGGACGTCCAGTACTTGGACATAGACTACATGGATGGAAAGAAGGACTTCACTGTCGATGAAAAGGCTTTCCCTGGTCTCCCAGGTTTTGCCGAGAACCTACATAAACTTGGACTGAAATATGTCATTATCATGGTATGTTGAAACACCTATTTGGTGGTCTAGTTTTTCCTTTAAAATGCAAAAAAAAATGATAAAAACAATATTTTATTATCTTGTTTGTTTTCTAGAATCCTGGCATCTCGAATGATTTTGACTACTCTACCTATACAAACGGAACCAAAAAGAGACTGTGGGTCTTGGGAGACAACGGCTTTGTCCTTGGGCAGGTAATTTCTCAAAAAAAAAAAATCAGAGTAAATGACAGTCATTTGAGGAAGTTTGTGCTTTTGGTAGGACAAGAGGTGCAAGGAAGGCCAGTTACTTGTCATGGCTATAGAGGTTTCTGTTATTATTATTTTTAACCAGTTGATGTAATAGTAGAATGATTAAAATTCTTAAGGATTTATTTATTTTTAATTGAAATATATTTGACATATAACATTGTGTACATTGAAGGTGCCCACCATGTTGATTGGATACATTTCACTATTGCAGTATGATTGCCCTCATCACCACGGCCCGTCTCTCACATCACGGATTTTCCTTCCTTCCTTCCTTCCTCCCTCCCTCCCTCCCTTCCATCCTAGAATGATTAAGATCTAGTCTCTAGAAAGCTTGCCCCTGACTCTCTAATAATACTGAGAGTTGAGTGGCAATATGTGATTTGAAGAAAGTGTTATTTGTTCTTAAAGTCCTCTTACCTCACAATTTCTGTTTCTTTCCCATGACAATAAATTCAACTGTGGTAATGGAGCAAGATGCAGAGATGCTCGTGTGAAACCTATCTTAGCTCATGTACTTTTAGTTTACAGGAGACTTACAGAGCCCAGCTTTCGTTCTGAGGTAGTGATGTCAGGCATTTAAGTAGGCTGCTTAGGAACTGATTTTCAGGGGCAGTTGAGCTTTTGAAAATATTTTAAATCAAATCATGTAGTCAGCCTTCTCTGCCAGTTACATGTGGGGTCAGCCCTCGAGGACTTATTGATGGGAGATTTACTAAAACTGGTACTTCAGCTAACAGTTCACGCGGCTGTACTTCTTGTTGCTCCTGGGCAGTTAACTTGGCAAAACTTGTCTTTTCAGGGTTATCAGTGACCCCTTGCCTAACTGCCCACTTAGTTCTTACCATCGACTTTGTATGCAATATACTTACTTCTGTTGATTTTCTTTCTCATTGGTTTTAGCTTTTCATGAAACAGTAGAGAAGTTTCCTTCCTTCTCCAAACCAATTATTTGCTTTTACTGTTTTGTTTGATGTGAATTTCTAAAGTACCAGGTAGACTGATTTCACATGCAAGTACAAAGTCAGGCCACGGTCATGTAAAAATTGTTTTGTTTATCTGAAAAGTAGATTATCCAGACCTGTGAGTCTTTTCAGTCATATTCTTATTTGAGTGGCATATCATTAGAAATTTGCATATAATTAAAACAATTTAATTATAATAGATAGCTACCTCCAATTACGAACAGATAACAGGAATCATTTGATCGAAGATGTTGGCGCAGGTAGTAGTGCCAGAGGTGGTGTGGGTTAATTATAAAGGATTTGGTTAAAATGAACACTCCAGTGCCTGCTCCAGGTGCCGTGTTGCTGTAGGTGATTACTTTGTCACACCCCCTGTTCCCTGAGGTTCAAAGTTACCTGCGTTTGTTACATGGTGCCCCATCGCCTAAAACAAAGAACCAGGAGACAGATAGATAGATAGAGAGATACTCATTACACTGCCTGAACATTATGTTGTCCCTAAATGACAACCTACCAATTGGTTGGGAAAATAAGTAACAATGTATGCACAAAAGCTTGTGTCCTGTTAATTCAGAATTTTCAGCAATTTGGCTATGATCATATCTTTGTGCCATTTGTGGCAAAAGTTAAAAGCCAATCTTTGATAGAAATAGATAGGATGAGAAGTTAGAATATGAAGTATTTAACCTAAGAAGCACAAGATTCATTTAAACATTTAAAAAAACATTGTTTATATGCCTCAAACCAACATATTATTTATAAACAGCATTATTCAAAGCGAGTTTTAGATGATCTTCAGTTAGCAACATATTAAACAAATTCAATCTTTTTTTCTAAAATATTACCTAGTTAGACTTTCTAGTATTTTAAACAGTTCTCTCAATTGGCCTGACATGATGAGATTTTGCTTTTTTTTTTTTAGTCATAGAAAAAAGACATTTGATGGCTTCTCATCTATATAATAAGTTGTTTTTCCTTTTTTCTTTTCTTGCTTTGGTTCCTTGCATCTATCGTAACATTTAGCTTAGGGAGGAGGGCCACCCGTTGTGATCTGTGATGGTGAGTTACATGGGGCTCCCAGCAGAGGAGTCAGTAGCCAGTAATGCATGCATGAGTGACCCGTCCAACAAACCGCCCGGCCTTCTTTGCCCTTCAGGGATATCCTGGATGGACAGTCTTTCCTGATTATACGAATCCAGCTTGTACTCCGTGGTGGATAGAAGAGTTCAGAAAATTTCATACATTTCTGAAGTTTGATGGAGTGTGGATTGTAAGTCGCTATTCCAGGATTAAACTTATTTTGGAGACGGATCTTTCAAATTTTGAGATGAACTTTGAGTATAATCTGTAATAAAATCATTTGCTTGTCATAGTGATATTAAAATCCTTTTACTTAATGCTGGGTTTATATGCAATTAACTAGATCCCTCAAAACTCTGGATTTTAATTCTCAGTCTGCTACCAGCTGGTTAAGTTCTTTTGGAGAAAGTCTTTTGCTTTCTTATGGCTGCAGCTTTTTGCTTCATTGACTCTTTTAGCTTTAAAAAAATACTATTTTACTAGAAATTACAACTACTATTATTAGTAGCAATGGTTCATTAAAATTTAAATTAAATCATTAGAGAAGAATTTAGTGGGTGCGTTTTAATTTTTAGCAAACAGGAAGTGAGGAAGAGTCGGAAATTTGAAAAATTTCTCTGTTAGCAGGTTTATGCATCGGCTACTTTTAACCTTCTTTAAAGAAATGGATTTGATCTCAATTGTATCTTCTTCTTGCACTGCATTAAGCAGAATAAAAGGGAAAATTATAAAATAGAATACTACCCTATCTTAGTTTCTTTAAAATAATGCTGAAGCCATATCAGTAACTATAAAATCATAGCCTGTAAGAATTAGCCTGTGAGATAGTATTTCTTAATTAACCAATTGCAATCAATGTGTAAAGGTTAAATGTGCCTGATATCATTTAGAGTGGAAAGATACCTTAGATATAATCTAATCCAAAGGATGATATACTCTGGTTTCTCTTCTGATCATATTACTCGCCTTTTACAAAAGATGAAACAGAGGTCAAAAAAATGTAAGAAGATTACTTAAGATCCCCGAATCTATTAATAAGAGACCCCAGCTATCCAGCTTCTAGTTCAGTAAACATTCCTGAGCAACTGCCTGTTTATCGGTGACTCTTCCACTCTGTGTATTTTGTGTCTTTGAAGGAATTGGATGAAGTCTCTAACTTGCTCCCAGCTTCTGACCATAGTTGTGAAGACAACCAGTTGAACTTTCCTCCTTTCACTCCTCGTAAGTTTTTGCCTGTTTGCTACGATGCAGGCATGAGCCATCTAAAACCACCTCGGTGGAACTCTGTGTGGCCAGGAGCAATTTTCCTTCTCAGTTTAAGGGACTGCCCCCACTGAAGCCCCCTGACCACCCCTTGCTGGGGACCTTGCTGCCTTGCTTGTTCTCTCGTTGCCTTTTCACTGCCATAGTCCAAGGGCAGGTGTGTGGTGAAGGTCGTATCTCCTGTGGTGGTGCCTCCTGTCTCGAGTTCTACATGCTCCCACCCTGTTCACTGCCTCTAAACCCCTTTAAAATGTGGTTCAAGTTTAAACTTCATGACAGTGTCAGAATACTAGAAGTACACATCACCTTCCGTTGGAGTAAATCCGTAATTTGTGTGTGTATTTGTTTAGCTCATTACCAACAGCCTCGTCAACGGTTCCTGCTAGTCCTTCTTATTTTGAGTCTCATTTCTAGTCCAAGTCCATTTTCCAGGCCCTGATTTTGAAAGAGTGTGTGTGTGTGTGTGTGTGTGTGTGTGTGTGCAATAGTATATTCTTTGTGGAAACAAATGCGCTCCGGCATCTCAGTGGAGTACACACTACAAGTTTATTTTTTGCTCATATAATACTGCATTGTGGGAAGTACTCTCATCCACGCAGTGACTCAGCAATCTAGTTAACTTCTATTGCCCACTCCTCCTTTCCTGGAGCCTTTTGTTTATAGCTTCCTGGAGAAAGGAGAAAGAGAAGGGTAGTGGGAACTTTATGGAAAGGCCTGGAAGTGCAGTGAGTTCAATTTGCTCACATTTTTTTGCTCACGCTTGCTCTTGGAATCCAATTGGAATCCAATCAGATAGTCTCTACTAAACTTCAAGCAAAAATGTGGATATAATGTTATACTCCCAGGAAGAAGACACAGGCTTGGTGAGCATCTGGTCAGTTTGTTCCAGTTTGTTCTGGTTTCTCCACCTGTACCCTCGGAGCAAAGTTTAGCTGTCCCTTTGCCCCTTTAGGGCACTGAAGGGGTGAAGAACTTTTTTGGAGAATCTTGACTTCAAACCGTTGAACTTCTTGCAAAGTCTGCTGTTTCTTTCCCCTGGTTATTCTTTATTCCTCTCTGCTCATTCTTTGTTCCCTGATTTTTTTTTCACTGTGGATTAGTTTATCATGTTTCTCCTTTAGCCTCTGAATCTTCTACTTGGCCCAAACTAGGGTGTTCTTGTTGTCGTTTCCCTGCAGAACACTGCAATCTCACCCACCTTCTGTCTGCTTCTGGGAAGCACCCACACCCTGCCTCCCAGCCTTCTGTCTACCTGCACAGGACGAGCTGCCCTGCCTCTGGTCTGCTTTTAACCTTTCAGGAAGAGAACATACGCTTTAGCTTGAAAAAAGATTTAGATATATGACCTTTGCCCCTGGGACAGTTTAAGTGCCCCGCCTTATAATGGAAGTGACTGTGAAACTCAAGCCACGAATTTTGCCACACCAGAAATGTAACTGTCTTTATAACTTATCGCTAAATGTGATTCCTCACTTCAAACCCTGATTCTGTTGGGCTGGTGGGAAAACTCAACCTCAGTCGTTCCTGGCTCCACCTCTCGCTGGAACTGTGCCCAGGCTGAGGTTCTACGAACAGGAAGGCTTCCTGAAGGAGGGGAGGCGTGGCCCCCCCAGGTGTTGGTCTGGAAGGAGAAGGAGAAGAATGAGACTGCAGGCCTCAGGACAGAAAATGTTGGGCGTTTTAGGCATGAGAAAGGGAAGATGCTGTAACAATGCTGTTTCCAAAGGCAGCATCTAAGTTCTTATTCATGAAACCACCCTAGTGTCATATCTCAGATTTTTTAAAAAGTGTGACTGGGGTGAGGATGCTTGAAACATGGGGATGAACATGCTCCCTGTTCACTGCGCTCATATCTGTTCTTTGCGCACTCAGCTCTCCTTGACTAAGTCGATGTAGTTAGATGTGTGCGCTTCATTTATGTTTTATCTCAAATCAGCGTTCCGTTGCTCTGAGCTTGTTCTGGCTCGCCTCCACTCAGCACCACTCTCCGTGAGCTCAAGAGAATGCAAATGAATTTTAATGATCTGTCTCCCCAAGGGGCTCAGTGTATGCCCCAGGTAGGAAGGGCATTTAAGATAGGATTTAAGATCTGGAAAGGGTTTTGTCAGGGGGAGGCTGGTGGGGAAGGTACAGGCGCCAGGAAGTACACAGGGCGGTTACTTTGTGCGAGTTTGCTGACAGGGAGGGGCTCACTGACGGGTATTTCCCCACAGGAGTGCTGGACCGCTTGCTCTTCGCAAGGACCCTCTGCATGGATGCTGAGTTTCAGTGGGGCCTCCACTATGACGTCCACAGCTTGTACGGCTACTCCATGGCGAGAGCCACCGACGCGTAAGCACTCGATTCCTGCCTCGCTCCAGACGTGGGGAGCTGGGAGGTGGAGGGTTTCTCTTGTCGTCTTGAAGTATATTTTTCAAATATATTCTGGGGTTATAAGAGTCTAGAAACTCAGATCTTACAGGCTGCTAAAGAGGGCTTCTCATATATTCCCTGGGTTTCTGCGCAGGACTGTTTTTGATTGGCTTGTGGCTGAGGACTTGATACTAGTAGGCAACTATGTGTGAGGTATTTAGAACCCCTAACTGGAAGCCAGCCCTTGCTTGGGTTCTAGTACTACATATGCTGTGGTCATCACACTAGGGTGTCCTGACTTAGCAAATAAAAATACAGCACACCCAGTTAAGCTTGCAATGGACATAAAGACTATTCATTGTTTACATGAAATTCAAGTTTACCTGAGTGGCCTATATTTATACGGCAATGTTATACCACACCCTCCTGGCTTCCTTCCCTGCTGCCTGCTCCAGACTCCCTCTCGATTTTCCCCTCAGCCCCAAGATGCACGCATCACCACCACCCCACCGCTACCATCACCACCACCACCACCACCACCATCACTATAACCATCACCACCACCAGCACCACCACCACCACCATCATCACTACTACCACCAGTACCACCAGCACCAACACCACCACCACCATCAGCACCACCACTCAGTATGAAAGTTGAATAAAGGGACAGATGCTTCCTGCAAAAGATTTAGTCTTTTTCAGACCTTCTCACATGAACTTTTTGCTAATGACTTTGTAAACGGAGGACTAGCTCCCTGCAAAACCCCCACCAAGTTCCTTCCTAGGAAGGTGGTGAAATATAATCATTACACCTAGGAGAGAAGAAATTCGGGGCTAAGCTTAAGAAGATTTTAATCTTAATGTACAAAACAGATGGAGTGACTTAGGAAAGAACGTCTTGGTTTTTCTCTTCTGATTTCCTTTTGTTTTGGTGTTTCTAGAACTCCGTGGTGGGGAATAGGGACAGGGTGATGTCCTTCTGGAACTTTTCTCAGCCCTTTTACTTGACTTCTCTAGGGTACGCGGCGTCACTGACCACTCCTTTGAAACTCGGTTCCCTTGGTTCCGGCACACCGCTCTCGCTTGGCTCGCCGGCCCTGCTCCCAGCATCCCCCTGGCCCTCTGTTCCTCTTCAACCTCTGGGTCTTTTTCATCTACTCTCTCACTGTCGATAAGCCTTTGGCGTCCACCCCTAGACTCCTTTTTTCATTCTCTGCCAATGCAAAGGTAATTTATTTCTTTTCAGTTTTTACTGGAATTTATTTTGATAATTTTAAAGTCTATGATTCCATAACGTTATAGCTTAGGTCTCTCTCTGCTTTCCAGACCCAGATACCCACAGCAACCTTCTGATCTTCTCTAACTTGGTTGTCGTCTTGTCCCTCCCATGCCATTCACCTTCCCCTGTTACTGGTTTCTGCCCAACCTCCACAGTCTGGCTAATCAGTTTTGAAACAATTAAACTACCCATCTTGGTTGGTGGCTACACCATCCCTATCTCCCAGACCCCCAAGAGAGAAACTTGGTATCATCCTTGAGCTATTTCTTTCCATCACACCCTCTTTTACAATCAGTCTTCAATCCTTTTGAGTATAAAACATTTCTATAACTGTCTCCTCTCCCCCCACCCACACTTCTTTCCATCATCAACACTCACAAAGAGCTCACATGAGCTCCATGACTACTAGTCTTCCTTCCCTGACTTTAGCTTTATCTCCCACTCATCTGTCCTCTTCTGTTGCTATTCAAAGTGCGGTCCAAGGACCAGCCACACCAGCATCACCTGGAAACATATCAGGAATGCAGCATCTTGGCCCTCACCTTAGACCTTGGAAATGAGAATCTGAGTTTTAGCAGGGTTTCCAGGGGTATTGAATGTGTGTGAAAGTCTCCGAAGCACCACTCCCTCCCACTGCTCAGGTGGTCTTTCTGAATCTCACGCCTGCTCGCCACTCTCCCCAGTGAAAATCTGCTCACTTCTCTCACCACTGAAAAACTACCTTTGCCTTGGTATCTTCCATACAATAAAAGGCAGCCACCCTAGCCAAACCTGTAAGGTACTTCATAACATAACCCTTTCTTCGTATTTTTCTTCCGTCTCTGCTACTCCTCATATTTTATGCTTACTGCTCCTGAATTGAAAGCTATTTTATTCTTCCATGTCTTTGCCTGTGTGCTCTGTCTGCATGGGATGCCCTTCCCCACCCCATCCATTTTGCAAACATGCACTTATCTTTAAAGCCTCACCTTACGTGTTAATTCTGCAAACCTACCTGACAGTCCTAGGGAAAGATTATCTCCTCCCTCTGCCTTTATCTTGTGCTACCTTTGTTCACATTCGCACTATGCCTAAAGTCCAAACATCTGTATTATAATTTTTATTCACTTTTCTTTCTTGCTGCACTGTAAGTTCTTGGAGGGCGCAGTCACCCCGTGTGTCCTTAGCCTGAGGAATCGGGTGTGTCCTACAGGCACAGTCGTTGAATAAAGGCGTGGCCTGAGAAAGGGAAGAAGGGCGGGACAGGCCCAGCGGGACCGGGTGACTTAGAAGCAGAGACTGGGCCTCTTTTGTTTTCCTGCACCATTTTGTCCTCGGGACTTAACTATGTTGCTGGCTCGTCCAGGTGAGAGAGCGTCCTTGCCCAGTAAATGCAGATGTTTTTATTTCAATACATGAACTGCTCCATGAAGAGAGACACACATCTGATTTTATCTGCTCTTTTCTGACTTCTTTCTCTCATTTGACCTTTCCTGATGGATCAATCAGACAGTTCCCTCACCTTCGGAGTGAGGGTGTTGGATTGATGTTTCCCACACCCCTTCCTGCTCTGACCTATGTAGACTCACAGATGCTTCTCCCTGAGACCGGGAGGTGGGCAGAGAGTGGGGAAATGGCCAGGGTGAGAAGGAAGGGGTAAGAGAGGGTGCGTGGCAGGAAGGGAAGATTCAAAGTGCTTCATTGCTAGAGCTTCCATGTGATAAAAGTGCTATAAAATCATAATGGGGCTGGTTAATAAGTCCTAATAGCTTTGGTTAATGGTTAAAAGGTCAAAGTTCCCAGAGAACAGTGGAGGTAAATGGCACTTGGCACCTGGGCATCAGATAGAGCTGGTGAAACAGCAGACAAGAGTCTCATTCAGTGGGGTCTGGCCACCAGGAGACTTTAAATCATAAATCTGATGAAGATTTGGCTCCACCTTAGCGGGAAGTAAAGCTTGGGGACAGTGGCTACTGGCCTACCGTGACAATGAAATTCACTGTCCTGTGGCCTAAAAGCAGAAGGAACCCAGTTCCTCTCAGAGATCAAGGCCTGAGCATAACCAGACCAACCCTGAGGGATGCAAAGCAGAGGCTTGGGGATGTCTGGGCAAAAGTTTTCCTCTAAGCCAAAATGAAAAACAGACCGTCATCTAATCCGTGTTACCAACATGGCCTGACTAAATCAACCCTAAACTCAGATAGCTTCATTCCTGTTTCAGTTTCACTTTATGCCACTTGAATGTGTTCCTTTTATGACGGGTGATTTGCAGGGTGCCATAAACCCCCTAGCCAGCGGTGATAAAGGCAAAGCATCGCGAGCCCCGATGAAGGAGACATGAGGACGGAAGTGGGAGAGTGAGCCCTCTCCATTGTACCCTGATAGCTTGCTCATTAAAATGTCAGGACGGGGCACTTCATTTTCTTAAATGAGTCTTCTGTTTCCGAACTACCCCCCTTTTCCCATGATCCATTGTCCTGAGTGTGTGACTCCCCATGGCGTCCTCAGGGATGCAAAGACGGAAAGCGTTGGTGGCTGTGAGAGTGCCTCCAGGGACGGCCCAGGGCCTGCCGGTGCCCTTGTCTCAGACCCTGTGCTGGAAAGAAAGACAAAAGAGCCTGCCTGCAAAGAGCTAGACGTGACTGTGGCTCAGCCATCACTCTCCTCTAGTTGTAATATCGCTCAGTTTCAAAACATTAAAAGAAAGTGTGGACTGTTTAGGAAAGGAGAGGGCTCTTTGAAAAAGCATTCCAAATAAAAGCTAGAAAATCTCCTACAGGTCACTGTCTGTGATCCCAGCCCCACCCCATCCTTTCTGAGTTCCTCATCTTTAATTCCTTTGCTCCACTTTCTGTAGAGTTTTATTGGATGGGTAATCTTTTATATGTAATACAGTGAAAATAGTTTATAGTTTAGTTGCTTTTAACTTCATTGAGAGGACCATCTGCCATCTTCTGAGACTTACGTGTTTGAATGGATATTAGTTTGTGCAGATTAAGATCTCCTGACGTGGGGAATTGCTAATAACAAGTTCTGAAGCTTCTGAGGATCCTAGAGGGCACACAAAATCTCCTCTCGGGCAAGCGGCAGGTACAGGGTTCTGACCTTAGCTGGTGCCGAGCTGAACAGGATTATGAATGGGCAGCAAGGCACGGAACCCAGGGACGCTGGGAAATTTTTTTTCTAGCAGGAGGAGGTGAGGGTCAAGAACCCATGGTTCCAATGTATTGTGGACTAAAAGGGCAAGAGCACAACAGATCCAAGATGCAGAAAACATAATCAGGGGGACGGGAGCCCAGAGAGAGCCCTTGGGGGTGCTTGTACTCCCTCATCTGAGGTCTGAACCCTGATCTAGGAGTGAGATAGAAGCTCTTAAAGAGGCGACTTTAGTCTGCTCGCCTTCATGATGCCCTGCCGTCTTTTCTCAGTTTGATCGAAAACCTCTGCTGCCTCGGGAACGGGTAAGCCCCAGACACTCACAGCTCGCCTCCCATTCATTCAGTTGGCTGTGCTCTTTTTCAGGGCCCTGAATAACATCTCCCCTCGAAAGAGGAACTTCATCTTAGCCCGTTCTACTTTTGCCGGATCTGGCAAGTTTGCTGCTCATTGGTTGGGGGACAATGCAGCCACCTGGGATGATCTCCAATGGTCCATCCCTAGTATCCTTGAGTTCAACCTGTTTGGCATCCCCCTGGTGAGTGTCACCTGGGAGCTTTCACCCTTTGTCCTTGGACATTCTTCCCAGTACCCGGCTTCGAAGTGTCTGAAAACCAAGGAGCATATGTCTCCCTGTGAGATGCATTGCAAAAGTCCATTTTTGTTCTATGGTGTGAGTTGCTTTCTGAAGATTGGATAGTAGCGTTTTACCACTGGGTTGTTGTCCATGGAATCTCTGAAATTAGGAAGACACCTCCACGAGTGAAATGTGTTAGTATCACAGGAAAATTCTATTATCAGAGCATTAGTGAAATTGGGAACTGAATATTGGGGATGAGCCCTTGGTTCAACAGTCCGTCTTCCTCTCTTCAGCTGGTCCACAGTGGCACACTTGTTGTATTCCCCTTTTGGCTGGGGGATTAGCCCTGAAAGCCTGAGACCCCTTGAAGCACGGCATGATGGGAATAAGAGGTTCCCTTTTTCCTTGTCTCGCAGGTGTACAATCAATGCTTTCTCCTTTCTCTTTGACCACTGTGCTCGTGTGTGTGCTCATTCTCCAGGTAGGCGCCAATATCTGTGGTTATACAAAAAATGTCACGGAGGAGCTCTGCAGAAGGTGGATGCAGCTTGGAGCATTTTATCCACTCTCGAGGAATCACAACGGGCCTGGCTTCAAGGTAAGGTCCCCACGACAAGTGACGGACACTTCTTGGGTTATCTAATCTATTTGTCGTCAAAGAGAGGTTGAAGAATATCCTCTGGGTTGGCCCTAATTGCAGCAGCAAAATAGATACATTTGGAGTGATAGACCTAAAAAGCATGGTATGGGGGTGACGGTATGTATGCGTTATTGCTGGGAACTCACCAACAAAGGTGAGAAGGGTGGCTGGAGTTCCTACAGTGCTGCTGTCACACTTCTGTTACCTCCTATATACGGCGGGTCAGTCGGAGTTCATTGATACTTCAGTCAGCACAAGGGAAGCCACTCCTAGATATAGGGGAGCAAGGAGAAAGGATTTCGAAAGGGGCAGGCCTGTGATCTGAACATTTTTTTCCCTTGTTGCAACATTTTATCTTTCTGTGAATGGTGTGAGAGACCACTTCCCACTACTTCTCACGACATATCCCACCTTTCTCCTCTCCTACCCCAAATGACATTTTTTAATGATTTTGATAAGCCTATAGAAATGGGTTCAAGGTCCCTCTTAAGGAGATGTTTATGGTGATGGTAGGAGCAAGTCAGGTGGGAGGCCCTTTCTTTTAATGAAGAAATCTGCTCATTGAGTAGTTTCGCTCCTAATAGGCTCACTGGAGTAACTCACTGATAATCATTTTAGCTGCAGTTCTTGACTTTATCCGATGTCGTATCTCTGACCTGGGAGAGATTCGTATCGGATCTTCAAAGGATTTTCTCCCCGGGCTGTTCCTAGCCACTGGTGGTCTAGAGAGAGATGGACTCCTCCTGATTTCTAAGCAGGTGGCTGGGAGAAGGGAGGGCAGGTGTCTTCCTGAAGAGGTGGCCCAGAAGGACTTTCGTCGGTAAGAGCGAGTGGTCACTCAGGCTGCCCGGGTACAGGGCTGGTTTTCTTCCCCCTCAACTAGTGCTGACCACACAGTGCCGATGGGAACCACACATGGAAGTTTAGAAGCAGGTCCAAAAAGCACAAAGAGACAGGAGCAATTATTTTTAATTTATTTTATATAACTCAATCCATCCTGAACATCATTTCAATGCCTATTTTATACAAAATATTAATAATGAGCTATTTTATATTCTTTTCCTTGTATACTAAGCCTTCAAAATTCAGCGTGCATTTTACACTTGTAATACATCTCAGTTTGGGTGCTGTACTTTCAGCAGCTGGAGGGAAAGGTAATCCCACCAGGACAATAAAGTTGCATTTCACTAAAAAAATTTTTTCACATTGATTCAGTTTTTAGGTTTATATTTAAAATAAGTACAATGAAATCTAATTAAAAGTCCAGTTCCTCAATCTTACTAACAACAGCTCAAGTGTTCGGTAGCCCCACGTGGCTTGCGGTTGCCCTGGGGCACAGGGCGGCTCTAGGTTTTCCCAGTTGGGGGCCAGGGTGAGGTAGGGTGATGTGGAGTGTTATTTTCTTCGGTGTTTGGCCTCAGGGTTTTCACTGAACCCTACACTGGGGCACTGAGTGGTCTCAGGGAGTAGTTCTATTTGGAGAGGGAAATGGGCAAGTTAAACAAAAGAAGGGGATACATTCAGATCATTTTTTCTAAAATTCAATCCCCATTATGCAGTACAGGATGACAGGTCTAAACATATGCACAACTTTCAAAGTACAAGGAAAGTGAACAACATGAGGGAAAATTTATGTTTTCCGTCCTAAGACAATTAGATTTCCCTTGTGAAGGGTTGTTTCATTCCTCCTAGTTGAAATCTGCCAAAAACTCTCTTCATGATTGCTTTGCACTTCGTGTGTCGAAGAACAAACAGAGGGCTCTGTCTTTGGGACAGAGAAAGTAAAACAAATTTTGCCGGTGAAAACATTACACGCAAAACCAGACATAAATTCCAAAGATCATAGATGCATAGCCCACAGACACAGATGACAACGTGGTGAGGGCCTGGTGGGGGTGGGGCGGGGAAGGGGAGACATCTGTAACAACATCAACAATAACAAATAAAATAAATGAAATAAGTTACGGGATATAGTGTACAGTATCGGGAATAGAACCCATAAGAGAATGACTGTGTGATGACAGACGGCTCCTAGACTAACTTTGGTGGTCACTTTGTGAGGCACATAAATGTTGAACCACTACATTATACACCTGAAACTAATAGATTCTTTATCAACTTTAATTACAGTAAAATTTAAAAGATCAATAAATAAAATTTCAAATTCATAAAAGAGCATGGAAAGAAGAGATGGATTCCAGATCGTGGTGGTTAGGCAATATGTGGCTTAAGGCAATGGGTTTCAAATTCTCTCTTAGTAGTAGGATGACTTTATTCTCATTATTTGCCAAATGACGTAGGATGAGAAACCTCGATATCTGAGACCCACGGGAGCAGCCCCGAGGGGCAGAGCCCACGCTAGGCCCTTTATCTCCTTGGCAACCTCCGCAGGCTCCTCTGTCGCCCTGAAGCCGCCACAGACCGGTGTCAGAAGACCCCCGTCCAATGTAAACCCTGCCACTTACTCGCAATTTAACCTCTGATGTGGTTTTCTCATCTATAAAACGAAGGGGCAGGACCCAGCTCCTTTCAGTTCTGGAAACTCTTTGACATCTTCAAGTTCGACAACGTAACTCCTTTCATATGAGAAAGCTTCTCATCAAAGGGAACTTCTACAATATGATGCAGATGTCTAGTAATTGCTTATGGTTCCTTCCAGGACCAGGATCCTGCGGCCTTTGGAGAAGACTCTCTGCTGTTGAAATCCTCCAGGCACTACCTGAACGTCCGCTACACCCTGCTGCCCTACCTGTACACCCTCTTCTACCGCGCTCACACCCTGGGCGAGACTGTAGCCAGGCCCCTGGTCCATGAGTGAGTTTCCTGACCCGCGAAGACATCCATTCAGACCATAACTCTGCTTCCCTCGTTGGTGCTAACGAGGTTCATGAGAACCTCGTTGCCATACAAGGAGCTGCCCGCCAGTGCTGGGGGCTTCACCTGCCTTCTCTGTGTTCCAGGTTCTACCAGGACCCAGCTACATGGGCGGTGCACGAGCAGTTCTTATGGGGGCCCGGGCTTCTCATCACGCCGGTTTTATATGAAGTACGTCTGTAATCTGCATGGTGGGATGGGACCTCACACTTGTCGTCATGGCTCTCTGTAGCTGAGTAAGCTGGAGCCTGAGTGCCTCTGGCTGCATTTAAACATAAATATGAATATAAGGGAGAGAACGATTCCAGAAGTTTGGAAATTAGAAAAATAGTAACTCTTGGTCCTACTGCCTGAGCAAGAAAAACAATTTCCATTTTGCAAGATCACATTCAAGCCCGTGTCTTGAAGCATACGGATGCGGACAGGGCCCTCAAATGCCTTGGGATGGCCATCTGCCTGTGTTTCCCTTTGACCAGAGAGGGTGTGAGATTGGGGTCGGGAAGGAGTTCCTGTGGAGTTCATGGTGTGATCCAGGGCAGCTGTGGGTGGGGGAGGTGGGGGAGAGAGGGGCGGGATCAGTAGTCTGCCGATCAGTTTGTGCCATGAAAGATCGCCAAGCTTCTCGTGCCAAAGGCCCTTGGAGCTGGTGTCTTCGCCATGCCGTCTCATGGCGGGCCCAGCTGGCCAGTGAGTGGTCCTGCTGGAAGGCTCTCCTGGGCGCCTGACTAGCCCAGTCTCCTCCCACCTGGCAGATTACACAAGTAACTCAGTGAATGGACTTCCTCTGCATCTCTTAGGAAGTTCAGGAGCCAGGAAGCAAAACAAACTTCATTGCTGGGACGGCTCAGCCTCGCTGGGTGTCTGCACTTTTATTGGTCGAGTGGGAGGGCTGTTCAGAGGGGCACGTGGAGCCACACGGGGAGGTGTGTGTCAGCTGTAAAGGGGCACGCTAATGTCGCTCATTACTGTTGTTTCCCTAGGGTGTGGACCAAGTGAAAGCATACATCCCAGATGCCATCTGGTACGACTATGAGACAGTAAGTGAGGTGGCGCGCTTGGCCCAGAGACCTGGCTCTAGCAGAGGACCGCGTTAAGGCAGCAGCTGTGTTAGGGGCTTGGGGAAGGATGATACTACAAGGTTTTTCATGTAGTTGGTTGTGGGTACTCTTCCCTGTGGAAGGCCTTTCCAAAGGCACAATGAAATAATTTGAACAACTGGGGTAGGTTGATGGGAATTTTCATTATGTCCACCTGGCCACTCTGCAGCTGTCAGGACTAGCTATTTGGATGTAGGCGGGGATAGCTTATGAAACGAAAGCCCTGGTGGAATCACAGCGTGGGGTCATACAAAGAAATGAGGTGGGTGGGAGTCTCAGCTTTGCTGTCTCCTTACTGCCTGTATGCCTTGGATAAGTCACTTCACTTGGGCGGGGGCAGGGGGGTGGGCGGTGTCTGCTTTTCTCTTATTTAAAATGAGGCAGCTAAGCAATGAGCTCTCCAAGGTGCCTTCTAGCTCAAACAGCCAATGATCGGCTCTGTTTTCCTTTGCTGGCTAGGGAGTAGCCACCCAGTGGAGGAAGCAATGGGTGCAGATGCTGCTGCCCCCTGAGAGGATAGGACTTCACCTTCGAGGGGGCTACATATTTCCCACCCAGCAGCCAAGCACAACCACCGAGGCCAGGTAAGCTCCTCCCTCTTCCAAGGTGGGACTACTTGCAAGCTCCAAGACGCAGGGCATCGTGGGAGAGGCGAACATAAGGACTAAGTATGGATGAACCCAGGGAGGACATCCCCAGTCAGGGATCCTCCTCCCCTCCTTTCAGGGTTGACCCAACATTAGATTTCACTTCTTAGAATTCACTCAGCGGCGGTAAACGTAGCCTCTGTTCCTTTGCATGTCCGTAGTCTTTCACTTATGGATTGAATCGGATTACAAGAGGAGTCAAATGATCGCTCAGGAGGATTTCTTTATGGTCAAAAATTGCCCTCAAAGAGATTCCCTTAGACATGAGAGAATGCAAGTTAAATAGGAGCCAAAGTCAACATCGCTTCAAGGTCAAAAGTCCAAAATTTTGGGTTTAAGCCCCAATTCTACAACATACCAGATGTGTTACAATGGCCACTTACTCTCTGTATTTCCGCTTATCACTCATAAACCAGGGATGATAGTAGTTTTACTTTTAGAGTAATTATAAGGATCAAATGGAAAGACAGTTAGAAGAGTTCCTGATACATGGTAAGCCCCTAACAGTGCTTACTTGATGGTTAGTGTTATCACAAATCCAGTTTTCAGCGGGAGCCCTCCCCTTCAACTCTGCTTCTTATGCTCATTCCCTGCTAACCTCTGCTGTCTGCCCACGCCCTGCCCCCCTGTCTCCATGCAAGGTCAGTGACCACACAGTGTCTGGGAGAGACTCTGGGATAACCTGCCCGTGGGGCATGAAGGGGGCTGGTTGACCCCACTTCTTATCTCATCTTCCTTCTCTGAAACTGAGACCTGCTCTTTTACAGTCGGAAGAATTCCCTGGGTCTCATTGTCGCCTTGGACCACAAGCGAGAAGCAAAGGGACAGCTGTACTGGGATGACGGGGAATCTGCAGGTAGACTTCCCTACACGCCATCGCTGCGGTGCTCCGTGAGAGCAGTCACTGCAGGCTGCCCAGTGCAGGGCCAATGCTGTTGCCATCGCTGCTTACTTCTGCAGCTTACAGCCAGTTTATGCTGAGGCCTGGTTGGCCAAGCGCAATGCATTAAAGTAGACTTCAGGTGGCCCACATGCATGTGATTGACTCTATCCAAGCAACAGACGTTATTGGATTTAATTAGTCTCTCCTCTGGGTATCGTCATTAATACCTAATAATACATTTTGCTAGTAGTTTTGCAAAATACTTCTTTGGTTACTATTAAGAGGAAGGATCTCATTTGTGTAGTATGTTTTTCCACAGTAGGATTTCCACGTGAGCACCTCACATAAGCCTATGGTCTATGATTATATGAAAATCCAGCCCTGCACAGAATTAGCATTTATTAATATTTATTGGCTATTTATCATTGCACTGTATGCAGGGGATATAGAGGTCAATAAAATGTAGACATTGCACTTGAGGATCTCCTGCTGCAGTAGGGTAGATATCCTGTATGCAGGTAACTATAATGTGAGTCAAATGTTTTAAATGCCAGCGAAATAGTCCCTCATAGTGCCACGGGAGCTTGGGGGTGGAGCACTTTGCTGTGGCTGAAGGCGCCAGGAAGCCTTTGTGGGGGTTTGACAAAAACGGGTAACGGTGGCTAAGCGGGATCCGTGGCAAAGGCACTCCCACGGAAGAGAAACGCCTCTTCTTCCCCTGTAACAGGGTCTCCCCCCTCTCTCTCTTTCAGATGCTGTAACTGAAAAGAATTACACTCTCTACGAGTTTTCTGTCACCTCCGTAAGTACTGTTTTTGAGGAACATGCAGGGTACCTTCTTTTCTGTGACTGCTTTTGAGTTCTGGGGTTTGCTACAGACGCTTAGCCATGGGGAACAGGGACAGTGCCTGATTCCAATGGCCCCGGAAAGGATGAAGGTTCAAATGGGAGTTTTTAATCTGTGTTGGAGATATGTCTGTAAGAATTCAGTGTGAGTTTGGTGAGGAAGTGTTTTTTTTTTCCTGGAAAAATTTCCTTGACTCTGAGTTTTATATGAGGAGTGGTGGCTTCCAAGATGTGCCCTTATTCGGCAGGGGGTGAGGCTGCAAGTGTGTGCGGTGTGGGGGCTGTGGGTGGGAGTGGGGAGTGGTGCAGTGCCTGATTGAGGTCCTTCCATGACGACCTTCCTTTCCAGACCCTAAACTTGGCCTTGGGCACAGGTATAAAGTGGCCATTTTGAGAGGCTGGGAGAACATCATTTGCGTCGTCTGTTTCCCGGGGGGTACTAAGAGGAAGAAAGGCAGTCAGTCCACCAGAGGACGGGAGCATTCTCGTGTGGGTTTCTCGGAAGTCTGATTGTGCGAGGGCAGAGATTTCTTTGATGGGGATCTCTCCCTTATTTCTTTTCTTTTAAATTTATATTGTTTTCTTTCAATTTTGCTTTTTATTTTGAGATGCCTGTAGAGCCCTGTGTTGTTGTAAGAAGCAATACAGACAGATCTCTTTTACTCCTCGCCCAGTCTCCCCAACGGTAGCATCTTAGAAAGCTGCCGTTCAGTTTCAGAACGAGGACACTGACGCTGCCGCTCCCAGGATGGAGGGCATTTCCATCACCCCAGGGGTCCCTCAGCCACCCTTCCGTAGCCACACCCCCTTGCCTCCTCCCCTCCCCCTTCCTTAGCCCCTGGCAACCACTGTTCTGTCTGTCATTTCTATAATTTTGTCCCTTCAAGAACGTTCTCTAAATGGAATCATACAGCGTATAGTCTTGGGGATGGGCTTTTTTCATTCAGTGTAATTCCCTCAATAGTCATCCACGTTGTTGTGTATACACGGTCCTTTCCATGGTGAGTAGCATTCCAAGTCATAGCCACCCAGGTTTGGTTGAGCCAGTTCACTCGGTAGAGAGCATCTGGGCTGTCTCTATCAGGGCCTGTTCTGAATAAGCCACTGTGGACGTTGTGGATGGGTTTTTGTGCAAACAGGTTTTCATTTCTCTGGTGTAAAAGTCCAGGAGTGCCAATGCTGGGTTCTATAGTAAGGGCATGTTTAGTTTTATAAGACAGTGACAAACTTTTCCAGAGTGGCTGGACCATTTTCCATTCACACCACCAATGTATGAGTGATGCAGTTTCCACGCATCCTAACCAGCATCTGATGTCATGATTTTCAAAGGTTATTTTAGCCCTTCTCGTAAGGGTGTGCTAACAGCTCACTGGGGTCCCAGTTTCTCCTTCTCTGATGCCTGAGGGTGTTGGCCATCTTTTCAGGTGCCCACTTGCCATTTGTATGTTCTCTTAGGCGAACTGTCTATCACGTTCTTTTGCCCATTTTCTAACTGGATTATTTGCCTTATTTTTCTGTTTAGTTTTGAGAGTGTTTTTAAAAATATTTTATAAACCAGTCCTTTGTTGGGTTTATGGTTTGTAAATATTTTTTTCAGTCTGTAAATGTCTCTTTTCATCATTGTAACAAAGTCTTTCATAGAGCAAACATTTTTAAATTTAATGGCTCTGATTTATCCTTTTTTTGTGTGTGTATGGATCAAACTTTTTGGTGTCCAGAATAAGAACTCCTCCTACCCAAGAGCTTGAATATTTTTTCCTATTTTACCTAAAAAATGTATAGTTTGACCTTTTCACACTTAAGTCCATGGTCTATTTTGAGTTATATAATTACACAATATGTGTAATTCTACATGTAATTTTTATATGAGGTGTGAAATTTAGGTTGAGGTTTAAGTTCATCCCTATGTTCATCCAGCTGCCCTGTCCTATCTGTTAAAAGCCTCTTCTTTCTCCACCGCCTTGCTTTTGCACCTTTGCAGAAACCAGTTGTGGGATGCCAAGTCTTTTTATTTTTTATTTTATTTTTAGAAGATTTTATATGTGTTTATTTATTTTGGAGAGAGGTGAAGGGAGGGGGCAAAAGAGGGAGAGAATCATCGCTGTGAGAGAGGAACATCAGTTTTCTCTCGCACACGCTCCAGTCGGGGACCTGGCCCACAACCCGGCCATGCACCCTGACCGGGACTTGAACTGGAGACCTTCCATTTTGTGGCGTGACGCTAAACCAACTGAGGCAGGCTAGTCAGGGCACGCCTAGTCTTGTTAAACATCAAAGTGACCCCCTTTTTTTTCTTTCGTCTTCGGCTATACCTTCTTCATCGTGGCTCAACTTGGTCATGTTTGAACTGTGGTTCTCTGAATAAGTTATCTAATTTCTCTGGGCCTCAGTCTACTCACCTGAAAAATGGAGATCATTATAGCTCTAACCTCACAGTTTGCCGTGAGAATTGAATGAGGCAATACATGTCAAATGCTTCACCCAGTGCCTGGCACATCGTACGCATTTATACAGTTACTTCTTATCCACTTTATCATTGAAATAAAAAGAGAAATTATTTGGGCACTATTTTGTGTGTATGTGCATCTATACCTTCGTGTGCCGTGGGTTTCTCATGTGCTCGAGTATTTTTATTTGCTTTGCTAGTATCCATCTTATCTGCTTGAAAATCCCACAATGTCAGGAACCTGTTTTCTGAGGAAGAGAATCAATAAATAACCAGTGAGCCAGGGCAAGCACAAACTGTTACTAAAAGACTGAGGACCACCAGGAGTCTGGGTTAACGAGCTCCCTGGGATGACCCCGAGGCACCGTGTAGAACCTCAGCGATAAAGGGCGTGACTTCAGTCTCAGGAAGAAAGATATGAAGTGGCATTTGGGCACAGTTAGAGTCCAAGGTACTTGTTTTCTAAACTGACTTTTTTTTTTTTTTCAGAACCGTCTACAGGCAAAGATCACGACTAATAATTATAAGGACGCCGACAACCTCATGTTTACAGATATCACAATCTTGGGAATGGACAAGCAACCTGCTGACTTTACCCTCCTTATGGGTGCTTCCACCCCCATTGCAAATGTCAGCTACAACACATCAACGAAGGTGGGCGATTGTCCCGTCCCCCCGTCCTGCGGGGCCCTTGCAGAAGGCCCTGGACTCAGATTCTGACGGGCAGCTCTCCCTTGCTCTGCGGAGGTCGGGGGGGCACAGAGACGACTAGCATGCTGGGAAATCTACCGCACACAGGCAGGATGCAGAGGGAGAAACACGTGCCTGCTGAGCAGGAACCCCTGCACTCTGTGTCAGTTGGACCCCGAAAGAGGGCAATTCCTCTCTGGGTCAATTTAAAGCTAGACTGCTGATCCCACCTGTGATACAGTTTGATACAGTATTCAGACTATATTAATTTTTACTTTATTTTTTATTGATTTGAGAGAGAGAGAGAGTAAGGAGAGAGAAAGAGACATTGATTTTGTGTTCCACCAATTTGTTGTTCCAATTATCTCTGTGTTCGTTGGTTGATTCTTGTCTGTGCCCTGACCAAGGATTGAACCCGCAACCTTGATGTATCGGGACAATGCTCTAACCTACTAAGCTATCCAGCCAAGGCTCAAACTGCATGATATAATGCATCAGCCCAGTTCTAGAGGATATTTACCCATATGCCCTCTCATTTCAATTAAAGGCTCTCTTTGAGACACAGCTGATAGTTTTCCTTAGTGTTTTAAGCAGTAATTGTATCATTGGAAAAAAGGGCAGTTAAATAAAACACAAGAGGTAGTCCAGTTTTGTCCCTATTGAATGATCCTCTTACATGATAATCTCGGACAAAAGATTCCCATTGTTAGCTGAGTATGTCAAGTGTGGGAAATGCACCATTTCTTAGGGCAGCCCCTTCCATTTAGACAACACCTGTGGCAAAGGGTGGGAGCTGGGCTTCTACTGTTAGGCCGAATGGGATTCCAATCTAAGCTCTGCCATCCTTGAGCTGTGAGATCTTGGGTAAAGCATTAACCCTCTGCAAACTTCAGCTTTCTATTTCACAAATTGGAGAAAGCCATATGGAGATAGCCTAATTGGAGCTAGCCAATTCGAAGTACGGGATTGCTGCAGCATTAATGGAGAGAATGCATGCGAAGTAGTCATCGCTGTGTCTGGCCCATACGCATGCTCGATAAAACTTAGCTATTGTTGTAACTGCCATCATGATGAAAAGGTGTGTGCACCACTCCTAGAAGGCCACTGCCCAGCAATGATGGCCCTGCCCGCAATCTGTACCCGTTAACGAGGTCGAAGGCCTTCCCATTGGCTGTCCCTGAGTGACTCCAGGAGGTGAGAACCATCGGAATGAGCCGAGTGCCTTTCCCCGGCAGCGATGTGAAAAGCCCCAGCAGAGAAACAATAACATGCCAACTCTCCCGTGGCGAAGTAGCATTGCAGGAACGGCTGGCTCCCCCACCCCGTCCTGACGTCCACACCATCAGGGAAGGGTGTCATCCAGGTGTCTCTCCCTCTCCTCATGTGTCACCGTGGCCGCCTTTCTCCTTCCACAGGTGGTGAAGATCACTGATCTTAAGGGACTGGTGCTGGGACAGGAGTTCTCCATTCAGTGGAGGCTTCCGGTCAGCGACCTGGAGAAGTTCAACTGCTACCCCGAGGAGCCCGCCGCCTCTGAGGAGAAGTGCAGTCAGCGGGGGTGCCTTTGGGAGGTAAGGGTGAGGGCAGATCACCCCAGCGGGTGGGAGGTTTGTCAGAACTGCCACACGAGTAGTCGGGCAGCTAGAAAACACTTCCAAGCGTTATTGGGTAGAACGGGAGTCATCCTTCAACACTGTGCTGACGGGTGCCTTCTCGGTGAACCCTGAGCGAGAGGTAGTCGGTGTTTCCCTCAGAGAGTTGGCTCTCTCTTCCTCCAGCTGACTTATTTTAACCCCCACTTTTATTTTTAACGTAATAAGAATAATAATAACACACCGTGCATTGAGTATTTGGAGTGATTTTTTTGCATCCATTAGAGTCCAAGCAGGAAGGTAAGGTAAGGTATGAGCCTTCCTCTCCACTTGAAAAATGGAGGGAATGAAAGCCAGAGAAATTAAATGACTTCCTCAAGGTCACCGTGGGGGCAGTGATCCCACAGCAAAGCAGGGTCGCTTTGGGAGGCTGGGAGCAGAACCTGCCTTAGGACCCCAGTCTCCAGGTCAGGCTCCCTGCTGACCCTTCACTGCTCATGTGTTACAGGAGGGGTGTGTGTGTGTGTGTGTGTGTGTGTGCGTGCGTGCGCGTGTGCACATGTGTGTTAAATGGATGCATTCATGTGCTAGAGCTGCCATAATGAGGTTCCACAAACTGGGTGACTGAAAACTACAGAAATATATCACATCAGTGTTTTGAGAGCTTCAAGTTCAAAGTCAAGGGGTTGGCAGGGTTGGCTCCTTTCGAGGGCTGTGAGGGACAGTCTGTTCCAGGCCTCTCTCCTAGGTTCTCAAGGTTTCCTGGCGATCTGAGGTGTTCCTTGGTTCATAAAAACTTCACCGCAATCTCTGCCTTCATCTTTACATGGTGTCCTTTCCCCGAGTGCATGTTTGTCTCTGTGTCCGAATCTCCCTATTTAATACGGACACTAGTTATACCTGAGTAGGCCCACCCTAGTGACCTCATTTAACCAGGCCATCTGCAAAGACCCTATAGACATCCACATAAGGCACAAGGTGTCAGGACTTAACATCTTGTGGGGGAATGCAGTTCAACCCATAACAACGGCGTGGCGGCATGGACTTAGTCTGGGTTACCTAACTTCTTCAGTAATTAGAGCTTCAGAGTGTGGTGTTCGAGGCCAACTGGGAGATTCCTCCTCTTGTTCCAGCCCACCACTGTTCCTGGCGTGCCCACCTGTTTCTACGACACTATCCCTAATTATGCTGCCAGTAACATTCAGTATTTGCCCACTGGCATCAGCATGGACCTTACGCATCTGACGGCCTCTGAGTCCCCACGAGCAGCAGCACCGCCACCGTCACCACAGGGCGCACTCCCTCTGCGTGCAGCAGCCGCGACCTCTGACCCTCTCTCTGCAAAGATCAGCTCCCTTAAGCTCAGCGTGACCTACCACACAGAAAGCATGCTGCAGTTCAAGGTAACTCCCCGTGTTGCAGATTCTGGTCCTCAACAGGGTGTTCTTACGGGTGGAAGTCATTGAAACATCTTTTTGTCCATATCCCTCATTTTAGAGACGAGAGCGCCGAGGCCCAGAGAGGTCAATAAAGGTCAGGATGGTAGGAGGTAGTAGGGCCAGGCTGGGGCCTTGGCGCCACCAGGGTTGTCAGTTTCCTGCGGTGATGGGTTCTCTACATCAGAAAGATCCTCCAAGAATCCCTCCTCAGCCCAGAGAAAAATGTGCCTGCTTTGTGATAAGCTCATACGAGTGGCATTAACACACTTCCCACGTTACAGTTGCTCCTCCTGCAGCTGATACTTTGGCTTAACATGCATCAGGATAACCTGCAGGTCCTGTTCAAATGTGGATCGCTAGGCCTCCTGCCCAGGGTTTCCTGCCCACGAATTTGCATTTCTAACAAGTTCCCAAGTGAGGCTGATGCTGCACACACATTAAGGGACCACACGTGGAGAGGTACCGCTCTGCTCAAGTGGAAATTCAGTGGGAGTCATGTGTGTTTTCCAATAACCGTGTATTTAAGAACGTATTTGAAAAAATTCAGGTGAAATTGATTGTAATAGCATTTGATTCAACCAATGTGCTAAAATGTTTTTATTTCATCATGGAATCCAAATGCAATTATTGAGATACTTTTGAATCTTATAAACATAGTAAGTCTTCAAAATCTGGTGTGGATTTTGCATTTACAAGTGAGTCTCTGTTCAGACTAGCACATTTCAAGGGCTTAAGGGCCCCACGTGGGTAGTGGATACCGCCCCGGACAGCTTGCTCTCGACACTGCTTTTCACATTTTAACGTGGGAGGAATCACCATAGGGATTTTGTGAAAATGGAAATTCTGATTCAGAAAGTCTGGGGGCGGGGCCCTAGTTTCTGCATTGCTAACAGGCTCCCAGATAGTATGGCTGCTTTTGGTCTGAGAAACAGAATTTGGAGAAGCAAGGCTTCCAACAAAATGTGTCCTAAGTATAATAGGTGGGCTACTCCTGGTTTGAGAAAAAGGGTGATCGCTCGTGACAGCGTGATGGCGACACTACCCCACCTTGTACAACACGTGGCCCCTGTCTCATTCTGCCCGCACGTCAGTCCTGTGAGGTGGGTAGAAGTGAGTGGTAGGCACGAGGAGCAGTCTTCAGAAAGGAAAAGCTGAGCCACATCTGGAAGCTCAACTAGTAAGAATATCTCAGCATTTATATGACAGCTCAGTTCTCTGATTTCTGCCATACACACACGTGCTCACGCAGAGTCTCACACAGTTCCGTGCACATACATACCTGTCCACCGGTAGCACTCATAAACACACACCATCCTGTCTGTGAGATTCTGTACCCTTAAATGACAAACTCTTTGGAGGGTGTGCCCCGCCTGGCTCTGAACACATGCCGCTGAGACATATTTGCAGTTCAGGCTCTGCGCTGGGGACAGTGGGTGGGCAGGCCCCACATTTGTCTGTTCGCTTTGGGACAATTGAGGCCTCCTGATGGGAACTGAACTGTCTGAGCGGGCGTGAGGGCCCTTGGGGGTGAGATCCCATCAGCAAGTCTCCTCCTCTCTCTTCGTCAGATCTATGACCCCACTCATAAAAGGTACGAGGTCCCAGTGCCTCTGAACACCCCTTCCTCTCCTGTTGGCTCCCCCGAGAACCGTCTGTATGACGTCGAGATTCAAAGCAACCCTTTCGGGATCCAGATTCGACGAAAAAGCTCCCGCACTGTGATGTAAGCACTGTTTATTTGGTTCTAATTAGAGTGATTCCAGATCTAATTACAGTGGTTCTAATTAATGCAAGTGAAATGTTGACCTTTGAGACTATGTGTGTGTTTGGTTTTCTACAGAGAGAATATCTATTTCCCCCTACTTTGATGGGGATTTCATTTTCTCTTAGTCCTTAACTCAACAAGAAAAATTAATCAGCCATAGGTTTAAAAGTACAAAGTGATGCTTGATTTCAGAAAAAGAAAAATACACATCCTACTCATTGTTCTTGTTAAGCAGAACAGAACATTTTGTTTGCCCTGTAAAGAAATACTAACAGAAGAGTCAGGAGAGAAGGGCAAGGGTCACTGAGGAGAGAGAAATGGCGACCATAGTCTTTGCTTCTATTGACTATGTAGACTTACAGCTTTTTCACAACATTGAGTGTCAAAGGAATTGTCACCTCTCATCCCAGTCCTGCTGCTGAATGGCATGAACCCAAGGTCTAGGTTTCGCCTGGGGCCGAAGCTCTCCACCCCAGCAGAAACTGTCACCTGTATGGGCACGTGTGACAGCCACCGGCTCTCTTTGACCATGTGTCTGACTTTCTGTCTGTTGACGTCTTTGGTAAGAAGCGCTTTGGCCAATCCAGAAAAGTCTGCGTTTCCTACTTTTCTATTGGAACATTTGCTTGGACATTATTCGTTGATTCAAGCTGCTATGCCAGACAATGAGAACTAGAAATACAGAGCTGAGTGAGACTCTCAAGGGTCCATAAATCAGAAAACGAGTTGTCAGTCTTGCAAACCACAGAATAAAAATGCAAACACAGAACCTTGGTAGTGAGCCTGGCCATTCATAAGGCCTGGGTCCGCTCACAGTATTTGAACCTGGGTCCAGGTGTGCAGTCATTCAGCGAGCTTCGGAATCAGCTAGACATCCCGATCGTGTTCCCCGTTGGCTCTGGCCTGTGAGCAGCTCAGCTCGAAGGTGCGCCTTTGTGTTGCAGTTGGGACTCTCAGCTCCCCGGCTTCACCTTCAACGACAAGTTCCTTTCCATTTCTACTCGCCTCCCCTCTGAGAACATCTATGGCTTTGGAGAAACTGAGCACACAGCTTTCAGAAGAAACATTAGCTGGAACACGTGGGGAATGTTTGCTCGAGATGAGCCACCAGGGGTAAGCACAGAAGAGGAAGATTATTGATCAGTTTCTCCCTGTGTAAATTTATTTATTTATTATTATTACTAATCCACACCTGAGAATATGTTTACTGATTTTAGAGAGAGGGAGAGAGAGAAACATCGATGTGAGAGAACATCAATCAGTTGCCTCCCGTATGCACCCCAAGCTGGGGACTGAACCTGTAACCTAGGCATGGACGGTGACCAGGAATTGAACCCACAACCTTTTAGTGTATGGGACAAACTGCCAACCAACTGAGCCACCTGACCAGGGCACTCTGTAAATCTATTTTACTTCATATATGGTACCCTATTCACCAACTTCAGCTTATGTTGATAAATTGTGCTGTCCAATGAAATAGGCCACATATTATATAATGCTCTTCTGTTCATAAATGTCATTTAGTTTTTTAGAATATATATATATACACACACACATATATGTATGATATATACACACATGTATTTTATGTGTACTATGAATTTGATTTTATAAACTTTTAGTTAATATGCTCTATGTGCCAGGCACACACAGAATAAGACAATATTATTTCATAAGTCACTGTCTTATTTACAAAACACAGGGGCTTATAGGCTCATGAGTAAGATGCAGAAGTAGCGGTGGCCATGTAGTCAGTGTGATAATAGAACCGCGTGATAATGAACAAGGAGGGCGTGGAGGGGATGGCACTTGGCTGGTTGCTTGGGGTGGAAGGGAGGGTCAAGGAAGGCTTCATGAAGGGTCTGACATTGTCCTAAATCTTCAGTGTTGGGTAGAGGGGCTGCCTGTTTGGGTTATAAGATGGAATGAATTTTTTTGGCTTTTCCCTTTTTGTTTCTCATCTACTTTCCCCATGATTCTCCCAGTACAAAAAGAATTCCTATGGCGTCCACCCTTACTACATGGGCCTGGAGGAGGACTGCAAAGCCCACGGAGTGCTCCTGCTCAACAGCAACGCCATGGGTAAGCCAGAGGCTCCTTCCCGTGTCCACTTCATTGGGATCTGGGATATCAATAGAAATAAGGACATCCGGGGCCAAGGAGGGAAATGGGACACATTACCTGACCTTTCATTCATTCATTCATTCATTCATTCATTTCTTCATGATTTATTAAGATCTCTAGCCTCAGTATTAGAAGTAAACTTCTGACTAAACAGGGTCCCTAGTTCTGTATGACCTTATTTTACTGTGACACTTTAATTCCCTTTTGTGGAGGGTTATAAAATGTTGAGACTGAGATTATATTTGGGGCACCTGGAAATCCTTCTCAGATCCCACTGCATGGAAGAAGACTTTCTAGAGGAGCTGGGCATGAAAGGTAGAGAGTGAAAATAGCAAATATTAGGGCAGGTTTCCTGTCTGGGTCATTTATAGTTCCAACAATGCTCCTCACCTGTTTTTTTTTTTTTTAACAGATGTGACAGTCCAGCCCACGCCTGCTCTGACGTACCGCACCACGGGAGGGATTTTGGATTTTTATGTGGTTTTGGGGCCAACCCCTGAGCTTGTCACCCAGCAATACACGGAGGTCAGAAGTCATCCTATTCATTAACACACCATCCAATGCTTATTGGGTATTGTCACGTTCATAGCACTGGGAAAGGCCAATTTTGGGTGTCGCTAGTACATTATCACTGTCTTTTCTGAGAGTAGGGTTTTAGTGTTAAGGGCCTATAAAAGCACATTTATATCCTATATGTCTCTTAATTATTTGCTAAAAATCAGCAATTAGCACTGAAGTCTCAGGTTACCTAGAGCAGAAGCTCTAACATATAGGGAGGCTTTCCATCGTCCTGCTTCCCCGTGGTTGTGCCACATTTATTTGACTTTCTTATTTTCCTTGAATGTGGTCGCTTAAATCAGACAACACTCAGCAGACGTGCTCAAGTTCCTTCAAGCATAAGCCAACCATCTTTCCTTCCCTAAGAAACCTACCTAGATCCATTTTTCTTTTTTATTCTAGTTGATTGGTCGGCCGGCAATGATTCCATACTGGGCCTTGGGATTCCAGCTGAGTCGCTATGGATACCAGAGTGATACTGAAATCTCCAGTTTGTATGACGCAATGGTGGAGGCCCAGATTCCCTACGTATGAAGCCCCCCACCCCCAGCCTGTGGTTTAATTAGTTATGGGAATCTGTGCCTTACTATAGATTGAAAATATCTTCATAGAAATCACTGATGATTACCTCAGTGCAAGGAAAATGTAGCCGTGGAGCTCGTCCTCTGTGGAAACATTGCTTTTTAAAGTTATTCCATGCCACCCTTTTAAATCAAGGGTTCAAAACTGAAGGGCAGGAATCCTCCAGAAGTTAGTGGAGGATATTGTTACTTACTGCCTCTTGCCAGAAATATCCTACAGAAGCCATAGGTGGTCTTAAGCCATGACTCTGGGAACTTCTAAGTGGGAATCATGTCAAGATTATGACAATTTTAGACTATACTGGGACTATTTTTGGAGAGGATGGGTACAAAGTGACAATATGAAACAAAGTAGTTAAAATCAAGCCTTCCCTCTGACTTAAACGCAAATACTCACGTATGTAAATCCTGCAGAGACAACCTGGCCACTAGGGAATCCCCGAGAAGTGCAGTCAGTCGCTGTCGACAAGCAGAATTGCAGAGACAGCACGTTCTTTCCTCTCTTGTAATGATCGAATTCACACCCCACATTCTCTTTCTCTGCTTTTAACTCCCCTCCTGAGATTTGGAGGACGGTCAATGATTAGAAGATGAACATAAAGTGTTCCAATGTTCTCATCGAGGGTAGCTGGAAACATTCACCCAAGCTTATTTTTTTCCGTTTTATATACTGCTATATAAGATACTTATTAAACATCAATTGGAAAAGATAGGCAAATTAGAAGATGAAAGAAATCCATAGGTCTCTCCCACTAAGGCAACCAATGTTAATAATATATGTTGGTTCATTCTTTTCTAAGCTTTGGCTTATGCCCAAGTCTCTGTTCCCTCAGACAAGTTTCACTTAGAGTCATAAGACCATACAGATGATTATAACCTTCGGGATAAAGAAAAGGCATATCTCTTTCTTCAACCAGTACCATATGTTGCTGTGTATAATGCATTAATGCATACCCATGTTTTCGTGCACATTGTACACGGGGTTATTATGCCCGTGTATAATGTGCATCCTCATTTTTCCCTCAAAAATTTGGGCAAAAAGTGTGCATTATACACAGCAAAATATGGTGTTAACCACTTTAGCCATCATTCAACAATCCTGAACTGGGTACATTTCATTTGCAGAAACCTAGATTGGTTCGTGCTGGGTTGAGAAAAGGGAAGACAAGGTTCTCCTCTCAAAGACCATGCAGACAAATGGGGATGGTGGGAAGAGTATACTGTTAGTCTACTTTAGGGTGCTATAAAGTAACGCAGTTTTTAAATGTGAGTAAATTCAGTCAGGCGTAGTGGAGGAGAAAGAGAAAACAGATATACAACCTTTTTCTGTTTTTCAGCAGAGTCCTCCTTTCTTTGGACATTTAACTAGCATCTTTTTTTTGGAAGGCTCACTAAGTTTGAGATTTGAAGAACGGAAAAGACATGAATTGAGGGAAGGAAAGGGGAGAGAGTTCCACTCGGGGAAGAGGGGCAGAAGGAGGAGGAATGGGGACAGGCGACCTGTATGCAGGAATCAGGTGGCCATTGTAACCAGCTGAACTGAACGCCCCTCTGGTGGAGGCAGGAGATGCATTCGGGGGGCCCTGGGCTGGGGTCCGCAAGCAGCAGAACGGGAGCCTGGTGGAACAGTTGGCTGCTCTGAGGGATACTACTGAGGGACCCCAAACACCCTGCTCGCCCCCTCCTGTAGGATGTTCAACATGTAGACATAGATTACATGGACCGGAAGCTGGACTTCACCCTCAGCAGCAGCTTTCAAAACCTTGGTCCCCTGATGGAGCGAATGAAGCAAAATGGCATGAGGTTCATCCTCATTCTGGTAGGTGCTTGCGAAGATGAGGCCTCATTTTCTGTTTCTGTGTCCGTGGTTTAAAAATAGTTCCACTGGGGGAGATGAGGTGAAGAGTATAGGACAACTTCCTGTGGATCTATAATTCTTTTCTTAAGTTTGAAAAGAGCAAATAAAGGAGAAAAGAACAAAGAGGGCTTTTAAGAAAATAATACTTACAATCTTTATTTTTCATGACTGAGTTCTTCTTACTCTTGATAGAGCCAGAACTGTGGGCTAAAACACCAAATATAGCAAAAAAAAAAAAGTCTCACTGTTTCAGGCTGTGCCTTGGAATAACTGAATCTTAGTCTCATCTTTACTGGAGGGGTTTCAAAAACCTAACTTTTATTATCACCCAGCCGTGGTGAAGTGCAGGGGACTTATGTCTCCTTAATGAAACTCACAAACAACCTAGTGGAGATACCAACTTATTAGTTTACATTGGAAGTCAAACACAGAAGTAGTTACCCACAGATGGTCCTCCCTTCTAGCTTCCATACATCTAGCTTCCAGCATTAGTTGCTGACTTCTGTTCATTCATTCATTCATTCATTCATCCATTCAAGTATTTATTAAGCACAGGGTCTTTGAAAATCATTGTTCTAAAAGGAGTATGTGTGTGTGTGTGATCTAAATTAATGAAGAAGACCATGTCCTTTTTCTTAGAGGGATTATACTTTATTAGTGGGATACAGCCAATAAATAAACATTAACGATCTCATTTTGGGTAGTGATGATTTATGGGACCATTGTGACACAGGATACTTATAGAAAGGAACTGGGCAGGGGGGGATGGGGTTAAGGGGAAGATGCGCAAGTCTGATGTAGGATAGAAGAAAGAAGTTCCATTGTTGTAAGGAGCATTGCTGTGACACTGGGACACTGTTGCAACACAGCATGTTGCCTTTCTCTGTTTGAAGACACTGTCTTCTTCACCTGGCTTATCTCCAGGACTTGTTTACGAACACTAGCATCCTTTTTTCCCTGGGAATTTTATAGCGAAACATCAATGTATTCTTTTACTTCTCAGCCACCCAGTAGACATAAGGCGTATTATCCATGGGCTGAGTTTTTTGTTTGTTTGTTTGTTTGTGTTGAAGTGCACCATTTCTTTCTGTACTGTGAATTGTTAAAGTTTTGGAGAGCATTGTCCTCGGAAATCCTTTCTCATGTTTTCTGTGTTTAACCCCTTTATTGCAGGACCCAGCCATTTCTGGCAACGAGACCCAGTATCTCCCATTCACCAGAGGCCAGGAAGGCAATGTATTCATCAAGTGGCCGAACAGCAGTGACATTGTCTGGGGGAAGGTGAGGACTGGCAGGAGATGCCCATAATTAATCAGCATCACAATGTCCTGATGAAAAGATGCTCTTAATAAATCCTGGTAAAGTATATTGGGTGACTTATAAATTGAGTGAGGAGAAATCTGTCCAATGCTGATTAGCTTAGTAGACATTAATAAGACCAAGGTCACAGGTCCTGTCTCTAACATATCAGTGAGTTTTATTTTGTTGCCTGGAAATATTATGGTATTCCACCTCTCACGTAGGTCAGTGGGTCATTTAACACACATAAAGGATCTCTTTGAGAGCGGCCCTGAACTCTGTCTCCCAGCCAGCCACCTGTGCACTCAAGACTCGTACTCACCTTTGACCTATGATGCTTATCAGCCTTCATATTTAAGTAAATCACTAACTCTTGTGTATTATCCTCCTTCTTTCACCTCCTTTAATTCCTTTTCAGGGCCCTGGTCCTCATCCTTATTGCCTGGTGTAGAGCAACAGGGTTTTAGGTGAACTCCCCGACTCCAGGTGATAGTGGTCCTTAGCCAAGATTCACATTCCGCTCTGTAGTGACATTGTACACTTTCTCTTGCTCTGGTGTGTGCCATGCCCGCTGTGCCTTTTTGCGTGTGGCCTTTTCCCAGCGTACCCAAGTAGTACGTGCACTCAAGAGCCACTGAAACATTCCTTCTTAGGGCGCATTCAATGCCTAGTTTCCTGTTTCTCCCTTTTCTCTGTTGTTGCCCGCAGAGAGTACTGCATACAACACAGTACTTATGTTCTGTCTTTGAACTCTTAAAAAATAAGGACTGTTTCTTACTTAGATCCAAGTAGATACAGACCGTAGAAGAGTGCCTGGCACAGAGAAGTGCTTAATAAATGTTTCCTGAATTAATTAATTCATGTATATAGTTAATGTCCTCCTAATTATAGATGAAATGAATTCATAATGTAGATTTTTTATTTTTTAAAAGATTTTGTTTATTTATTTTTAGAGAGAAGGGAAGGGAGAAAGAGAGGGAGAGAAACATCAGTGTGGGGTTGCTGCTCATACACCCCCTACTGGGGACCTGGTCTGCAACCCAGGCATGTACCCTGACTAGGAATTGAATCGGCGACCCTTTGGTTCGCAGGGTAGCACTCAATCCACTGAGCCACACCAGCCAGGGCAATAATATGGATTTTTTTTAATGCTACATATACTTGGGTTTCCCAATGAGTCATGATGCTGCTTAAAAGTATTGAGGCTTAGTTCATGGGTTGTAATTGGAAATTGATCTTGTTTCTTTAGTCACATTTGTTATTTAAAAAGGGAATTTTGTTATAGGTCTGTGACAAGCATATCAGAGAACTGAGTAATCGCTTGAAAGGTGATTTGTTCAGAGGACTTATTTAAAATGGATTTGGTCGATCATTAAGTTCAAAAGTGAAATTTTGATAGCTTATGGAATGAGTCAAGAGACCCAGCTTATTTTCACCTAATGGAACTTTGTTCACCCAGACCTTAGAATTTAGTTAATGGCCAAGATCCCCGGGATTTTTATGGAGATGCATGTCAGTAGAGTGTAACATGTGAAACATTTCACCGCCTGTATGTAATGCCTTGAAAAGGTGTTAGTTTTTCCTGTTTTTCTCTAGGTCTGGCCGGATCTGCCCAATGTGCAGGTGGATACATCCCTTGACCATGAAACTCAGGTTAAGGTATTGTTACAAACAGATTTCTTTTTTTTTTGTCTCCATTGCCCTAAATATTTAGATATTCTAAATATTTAAATATTTAGATTAGTTTTATGCTGACGTTTGGTTAAGTAGCTTTAAGGTGAGTGTGTTTGTTGTCTGGTAATTTCTTGGCCGAAAAAAAGATCGCCAAATGGAATACTCAACAAGCAAGTAAACTGGAAATGCGTAGGAGGAAATCCTAAGTGAAATACCTTCACAGGCGTGCTTTTAATGGGCTGTTTTATTTGAATCTAATGTTGCTCAAAAAGTACTGAACCCAAGCCCAGAGTATTTTCACTGGGGGAGGGGGGGTTGTGAACACACTGAGGGCAGTGAATTGTCAGCATGGAATCCAGTCGGAAGGAGCAACGTCTCTGATCCCAGCACTGGCTGTCCCTTCAGCTCGGGCATCCAGCACCCCTCCCACTCCACGGCTCACTTCCCGCGGGTTCCGCTGGGCAGCTGGTCTCCTTCATTTGACCCATGTAGAAAGCAGTACTGGAATCTCTGAAGTCTCGTAGTTTAGACTCAGACAGTTAATTTTCCAGTTCTTACGATGAAAACGTCCATTCATAAAAGGAACCCCATGTTTAAAAAGGACTCAAGACTGTCTAACCTTCTGGGAAAATAATTCAGCGTCCCTGGTCTCTGTGCCGCGGTGAACTGTGTGCAGTGGAAGCGGGCAGGCCCGGCTTAGGGCTCCCCCTGCTGGGGACAGCGCTGTGCACCGCACTGGCTTGGGCCCCTTCGCGTCCCTGCACCCCTGTCCCTGAACAGGCTGAGACCTCGCATGGGCGTGTGTTGCTCTTACAGCGGTTCCGAGCCCACGTGGCCTTTCCTGACTTCCTGCGGAACAGCACAGCCGCGTGGTGGAAGAGGGAAATAGGAGAGCTCTACACCAACCCCCGGGAGCCGACGAAGAGCTTGAAGTTCGATGGACTGTGGATCGTAAGTGCATCCTTAGTGGTTTGTCTTTGAAACGCCAGCACTCCAAACCCGGAGAGGCAATTCCGAGACTAGCGAAGCAGGGAGCTAGGAATGAAAGAGAGGGTGCTAGCACAGAATTAATTGCCGGGGCCACCAGAACAAGTGGAGGGAGTCGCAGGGACATAGGGACATATTATCTGGAGGAAGTCGCAGACCGTGGAGGGGCGTGCCACCACTGGCGAGGCTGCCAGAGAAAAAGGCTGCGGATACCCTGGCTTCTTTAATTTCCCATCCTCCAATCTCTTGCCGCTGCCTCCCATTGGCCACGCCCACCCGGAAGGCAGCGATGCGTGAGCCTGGGAGCCACCCTGTGACAGGGGGCAGGGCTCCAGGCAAGGAAGGCCCGGATCCGAGACAAAATAGATGTTCATCACAGTGCTCGTGGAGACGCCTCCGATATTTGTTACACGTGTCAGTTGGGTGGAAGAGCAGGGCTTCCCGGGATGTCTCTTCCTGGGACAGGTGTGCAAAGGCTCTTCTGTTTGTGCATTTCTAGGCATGGGAAGTGTTGCTACACTTCCATCCCAGTTTCCTTCCCCACTGCTCCGGGACCCAAAACCCTGCGCAGGGTCTAGGCCAGCTCTGCAGAGCCCCTGAGGTCTGGCCCGGGCTGCCTGTGACTCATGCAGAGACAGAAGTCCAAGCCCACCGGCAGCGCAGGGACATCCCGGTCACTCGCTTTAGGACAGATGGGCACCAAGGAGACACGTGCAAAAGGGCACGGGCCCACCCAAGCAGGCCAAGCACCGATGGGGGAGTTGAATCAAGACATTTCCTTAGGCCTTAGATCCAGCTTCATCTCGGTCTTTCTGCCACTAGGAAACAACCCTCAGAAGCTGAAAACAGTAACCTCAGCTGGGAATTGAACATGCTACTTAAACCACCATGCGTTCTTAGGGCCCATTCGGGTCCGTGCCTGAGATTAAACCGGGTCAGGGAGTCAAGCAGCTGTGTGAGGGCTTAAATAAGACACTTTTGTCTCCAGGAGGTCAGCGTGCCCCCAAGCTAAGGCCACACGGGCTCTGACATCACAGAACCTGTTTTGCTGATTCATTTCAGGATATGAACGAGCCATCGAACTTTGTGGATGGATCTGTTGGGGGCTGCCGTGATGAAATTCTTAATAAACCACCTTATATGCCATGTATGTACAGTGATGACCTCATTAAATGACCTCCCCGCTCAAAATCCCTTGAACGCTTTCCCCTTGTTGTCAAAGTGAAGCCTCATTTTGGGGTGAGAAAAACATTCTCGAACACGAGCTAAAATCCCACGTAGAATAACCTTGAATAAAGTGCAAGTGAATTACTAATCAAGAGTAGAAATAATGACTCGATGTGGCGTGGAAGAAACTGAGCGATGTAGGGTGCATCCGATGACATTGGTAACTATGAACCAATGGCTACAACTGTAAATAACCCCCCGTACACACGTGTGGGCGCCCTGGTTGTCTTATGGTACGAACAGAAACAGAGACTCCTAGGCCTTGAAGGTCTAAGGCATCTCAGAAAGCTGAGCTCTCTCGCCTTACAGAAACATGGGGGAAGGAAGGAAGTCACTCGCCTTCCTAAAAGCACCGTGCCAGTAATTTGTGAGATGAAATCTGGAAATCAAGTTTTTTAATGTCTAGGTCATGGCTACGCTTCCTTTCCTCCCTCCCTCCCTCCCTCCCTCCTTCCTTCTTTGTTTTCCTCCTTCCTCCCTTGATTTAATATTTGTGTATCAGGCAAACCAGAACGATTTAGCAACACCATACAAACTCGATTGAAACCAGATTTATTCCCTTGAGAACATTGCCATCTAGTGGGAGACACAGTCATGACACCAAGGGAGTGTGCCTTTACCAGCTCCATCCCCTCCCCTGTCCTTACCCTTCATTAGTTATAAGGTCACAGAACATTGAGTTTTTTCTTTTTCTTTAAGACAAAAGCAATTCTAGAAATTGGAGCTGTTACTGTTAACAGAGTCATTGATTGAAATAGAGCAATGCCAGGGTGATGGGTGTTTCCAGTGAATGGGCAGTGCAGGTTGTTCAGAACATAACTCGGCATTTCCCCTCAGATTTGGAGTCCAGGGACGGCGGTCTGAGCAGCAAGACCCTGTGCATGGAGAGCGAGCAGGTCCTGCCTGACGGCTCCCGAGTGCGGCACTACGACGTGCACAGCCTGTACGGGTGGTCCCAGACCAGACCCACATACGAGTGAGTGTGTTCAGTCCCTTGCAGCAAGGATCATTTTCCACATTGTTACTGTTGTCTTGTCATACATAGAGGGATGCGAGTTTAATGGATGAAGGTCAAACTATCAGGAGTGGTTTCCCAGGCAACCACACGACCTCACAGTTGTATCAGTCAAGTAGGTTGCTAAAGTCACATGTTTAAAGTGAGTAGGCACTACTTATTGCTACAGTGGCATTCTTACTACAATATATAAATATATCAAATTATGGTGTGTACCTTAAATTTACACAATGTAATATGTCAAATATCCTTCATTAAAAAAAATAAGCTAAGTAGTTCTGCTGCATTTAGTATATCCACAGAGTTGTGTAGTAGTAACTACCCACCAGCAGTCATACCCCACTATTGTCCCCACCTCCTGAGCCCCTGAAACTGCTGATCTAGTTTCTATCTGTATAGATCGCTTAATCTGGACCCTTCATATAAATGGAACCACACCACATGTGGCTTTTTGTGTTCCTTTTCAAGATTGTCTTAGGTACTCTGGGTCCTTTATATATTTTTAAAGGTTTTACTTATTTTTAGAGAGGGGAAGTCAGTGATAAAGAGAGGGAGAGAAACATCAATGTGTGGTTGCCTCTTGCATGCCCCCTACTGGGGACCTGGCCCCCAACCCAGGCATGTGCCCTGACTGGGAATCGAACCGGCGACCCTTTGATTTGCAGGCAGGCACTCAATCCACTGAGCCACACCAGCCAGCACAGCCCCTTACATTTTATATAAATTTTAGGATTAGTTTGTCAATTTCTGCAAGACAGCAACAGGGAGGTTGGTAGGGATTGCATTGAACCTGTGGAGCTATTGGGGGGCCCATCTTAACAATGTCATCTGATCCATGAACATGGGATGTCTTTCCGTTTCTTTAGATCTCATTTCATTTCTTGCAGCAACGTTTTACACTTTTCAGTGTGTAAGTTCCTGGAAACTTTTTTTTTTTTACATTTTTTCCCGCCCCTTTTCTTTTCTCCTTCTAAGGTCCAGTTATGTGTGTGTTGTTGGTACATTTGATGGTCTCTGAAATTCTGTTTCCTTTTCTTCATTCTTTCTCCTTTGTGTTACTTAGACTGGATCACGGCTATGGACCTATCTTCAGTGCTGCTGATGCTTTCTTCTTCTAGCTCAGACCTGATGTTGAGCTCAGTCCCCCCAGGAAATCTGTAATTTTAGTTATTGTGGTTTTCAGCTCCAGGATTTCTATTTATTCCTTTTCAAATAAGTGCTGTCTCTTTACGGCCATCCTCTATGTAGTGGGAAATCCTTGTCACACTTTGTTAATTATCTAATATGCTTCCCTTTAGCTCTTTGAACATATAATAACTAACTTAAAGTCTCTGTCTGCTAAGCCTCTCAGTAGCATTTTCTATCACTGCCTTTTCCCCTGTGTGTATAGCACACTTCTGTGGGGTTTCTTTTGTATGATAACGTTAAATAATACATTGCAACAACCCTGGCATAAAAATCTACCCCCCCCCCAAGGGTTCATTATTTTTATTGTTGCTGCTTTTGTTTTCTCACTGGTTGCTTATTTGTTTAGCAATGTTGCTGTCTCATTTGATAGATTCTGGGGACACAGAATTTGCAGTTAAAATTTTCTAAAGCGAATGTTCTCAAAGGGAGGTCAGGGTTGGGTCTTAGAGTCAAGAAGAAGCCTGCCTCAGGTCAGCCTTCCCAGTCCCCTTAAATGCCTTGACCCTGTGTCTTTCGCCCATTGCTAAAGGGGTGAGTGTGAGAAGGGTCACCTTCAGGCTTCCGGCAGTTTGTAAGACAGCCTTTTACTGCCTGTCTGCTCGGGCCTTTGAATTCAGCTGGAAGTCAGTCCCTGGAACCTTCTCCTTCCCTGGTTCTTTCTTAGGCACTCACAAAGCCTTGTGCTTGCGCAGTCTTAGATCCTCGGGAATACGTAGGAAGTTTTCCAATTTTCCATGGCAACAGTGCACATGCCCTCTGGCCCACCAGCCCTGCAGCGGGAGGTTTAGACTGCAGACGCCCCAGCACCTGGTCCTCTTTCTGGCCAGCCTGGGGCTCAGGAAACCCTTTCTTTTAAAAAGCTTTTGGCTGTGAAAGGTGTTTTTTTTTTTTTTTTAACAGGTTCTAATTCTCAGGGACTGACTTTTAAATTACCAGCCAAGCTTTTGTTTGCCCCCACTGAAACCACAGCCTGAGTGCCTGTGATGTTGCCAGAAAATGGTTATTGTTTAGTCAGTCTCTGTGGTGGGGGGAGGGGGGAGGGAAGTGGCGGGGGTGGGGGGGCAGACTTTTTCTCTCTGCTGAGTTGAGCTCTGAGTCTAGTCAAACGGCCACAACACCCTGGGAACAAAGATTTTCCCGAGGACTGGAAGTTAGAAATAAAAACTGTATTGTGCCCTTGGGATGGGGCTCCTACCAGGGCCACAGAAATGGTCATACCTCTCCGTTTGCTGCAGGGCTCCTGGCTGTTGGTGCCAACGAGCTAGGGGAGGGTCAGGCTGGAAATAGGCCAAGTTAAAATCCCGCATAACTCTCTGTCTTGCCAAGATTTAGTAGTTTCTCCTGGATAGACCTTTTTTTTCTTCTTTGTATGGCTAGTTAATTTCTAAAGTTCTGAACTAGACAGTGGCAGAGTTCTCTGTGTCACTCACATCCATCCTTACTCTGCATCCCTGCCTACGGCAGGCCTGTGTTAGCTTTTACTCATACGTGTGCACGCGTGTGCCCAGTCTCCATCCATTTTTGAATTTATTTTGCTGTGAAATATTGGAAGTGACCTAAGTGGGTTAGTCTCCACTACACTCGCTGGCTTCTTTTCCAGACATCATTTATTGAACAATTCATCTGTGTCTATTGATTGGTGATGCTTTATTTAGCAAATATTTGGATTGCATTATATCCTAGCATCTGTTAATAGACTTTCTCTTTGGTTCCATTGATTTTTCTCTCACACAAATTGTTTTTATTTTCTGACTGAGGCTGCGGACAGAAGGCCCACCTTCAATCAAGGAATATTTAAACATCTTTTCTGTATATTTATCTCTGGGCACAAACGTGCCTCTGCTTTTTGAGGAGCTGCATAGGAGAGTGAATATTACCCCCCCAAAAAGCTATAGTCATATGTACTTTTAGTTACGTACCATATCTGCCTCCTTGCTCTTCAAGTGACTTTTGGCAAATGATCGAACTTCTCTGAGCCTGTTTCTGAGTAGGACAGGAGGGGAAGGAAACCTTCCTTGTGAGGTAGTGAGACAGGTACACGAAAGTGGCCGGTATAATACCTGGAACAGAGTAATTGCTCCATAAATGCTTCGGCCCTACACTCCACCCCTCCTCCTACTTTTGTTGATGGGAGAGACCTGGTTCTTCTTGCTGACACATGTAAACAATTACATATCAGCAAATCTAGTAGTATGAAATCAGTTTATTAGTGGTCCGTTCCCATGGAAGAGCACAGGACCGGGTAGAGTAGGGGGTGAAAGGCAAAGTTTCAGGGCAAAGCAGTGTGAGAAAAGCAAGAGAGGCTGGAGACCAGGGCGGCAAGGCCCTGAGCAGCCTGAGGCCGGGTGGCCAGAGGCCCTGTGGCCCGAGAGCCAAGAGCCCCCTGAGCCCCCGACAGAGAGAGAGAGAGCCCTTTGTTCTCAGGACTTATATAATTGGTGGGATACGAGGGAAAAGAGTTACATATTGATTAACGGGTAAATGTGGCGCCAGCTTTCCTGGGGAAATGTGAATACCCAAATTTAGGGATGAATGGGGGTCTGTCTGCCCGAGTCCTTATCTTGCTCCAGACTCCGTTTGGTCATCCTGTTGTAAAACAAATACATGACAGAAGGCAGTTAATTAAAATTGGGGCACTTTCCAAAGTTATTTATGGGCTCTTTCTGTAAGCATCAGGGAGTCCCTCCTAAAACAGATAGTGACCAGAGGTAGGCAATTAACCACAGTTGTTTTATGGGCTCTTTGTTTGGGAACCTGGGGACCCTCTCCCACATTCAGGCCTTGGGATGAAAGCACAGTTTCAAGTCTTTCTTTCCCAGATAGTGGAAACAATACATAGAATTTCAAGGACTTACTTTCTTGCTAATATAGTATTTCTTGTGATATTGAAACATCTGGCAATATTATCAGCACAGGCTTGGGTCTGCTGACTTAGCATGTCAGACTTGTCTCCTTCCTCCTCCCTGCCTCGGTTTACTATTTATGCTACCTAATTGGTAAAAGGCGTTTCCTGGCAACCAGGGTGCTAAGTGCTGGCCAGTGACAGTATTGCAGTCTCAGAGTTCTTCCTGTGCTGTCTCCTGCTTCACTTTCATGTGGACAGCTACTTAACTCGATTTTTTTTTTTAAAGAAAGGAAATCCACCTGTTAGGTGATGCCCTGTCTCTGGTTGTCTGGCTCTGCAGTTCCCCCGGACTCTCAGCCCCACTCTTAAATAGCAGGTGCTCGAGCGAAGAGGCTCTCTGGCTGAAATTTAGCCCCGCTGCTGCCCCGTGCTCAGGGCTGAAGCTTTGCTCCTTAGTGAAGTTCCCTGGCTGTCCGGTCCATCCTCCAACTCACCTCCCTGTGCCCCTCCAACCAGAGCTGTGCAGGAGGCCACAGGAAAGCGAGGGGTCCTCATCACCCGCTCCACCTTCCCCTCGTCCGGCCGCTGGGGCGGACACTGGCTGGGAGACAACACGGCCGCGTGGGACCAGCTGCAGAAATCCATCATCGGTGCGTGGTCATCCCGGGGCCTGTGCGTTGCTTCTGTCTAATCACCATCCTTGTGGGCAGGTGCTGAGTTCTCCGGGGGCGTGAGTTTCAGTCCACACCCATCTCTTTATTTGTTCGCCACGACTGGGCTGGGCTTTCCAATGGGGTACAGAAGAGACAGGGCACACCCGCCCTCCCAAAGGGCTGCTCGGTCCAACGCAGCTGTGTCTTCTCATTGCAGGCATGATGGAGTTCAGCCTCTTCGGAATACCTTATGTAAGTCCTGCTGGAGCCGTTGCCAGTTACCCAGGTGGATTTCAGGGGGTCCGCAAGGCGCGGCAGTCCCGCCTCATGCCCCGATTTTGCCTCTCCTCAGACAGGAGCGGACATCTGTGGGTTCTTTGGAGACGCCGAATACGAGATGTGCGCTCGCTGGATGCAGCTGGGGGCCTTCTACCCCTTTTCCCGGAACCACAACACCGTGGGGACGAGGGTGAGGCAGCAGCTGGCGCTGCGGGTGTTTCTTGTCCTCAAGTCACGGCTTTGCTTTTGATGTTAAAAAGGACCGTGATTATTTATGGAGAAAGCTCATACAGATCAACAGACCCCCCCCCCCATTTCTTAAGAAAATCCACCGAGTTCAAAAACCCATAATCAACGATTTTCCAAGAATACACTTTTTCTCACCTCCTGGTGGAATTGTTGACGGTGCCTGCCCTATGGGGCTGACATAAAAGAAGCCACCTTGGCCTTTAAGAAGAGTGAATATGTGTTTTGCTCCGGTCTGTCCAAGAGATGTTAGTGCCTCCCAGAGACCCATCCCTCTGCGCATGTGCAGGGCCTGAGGGGGGCGGGCGGGGGACAGGGAGGGGGGGAGCCCGGGACAAAAAGGAGGAAGCAAGATACTGGGGCTTAGTAAGATGGCGCGAGTGGGGGGAGGGGCAGGCTGGAAATGAAGGGAGGCGTGTTATGAGTCTACCTAAGGGGCATGCACCTTCTGGTACTTCTCTGAGGTCCCTAGGACAGAGTGAAAAAGAAGCGCTCTTTTCTATGCTACTTTACCCCCTTAGAGACAAGATCCCGTGGCCTGGAATTCAACCTTTGCGATGTACTCCAGAAGCGTCCTGCAGACCAGATACACCCTGCTGCCCTACCTCTACACCCTGATGCACAAAGCCCACGTGGAGGGCAGCACGGTTGTGCGCCCCCTACTGCACGAGTGAGTGCGGCCTGTTTCCCCCAGCGGCGGGTCTGGGCGTGGCCTGTGAGTGACCCTCCGCTGCCGCAGTCTGGACGGTCTGAGTAGACTTTCTATACTTACTTTTAAAGGTTCAGCGAGGACAGCAGAACGTGGGACATAGACCGTCAGTTCATGCTGGGCCCTGCCATCTTAGTCAGCCCTGTGCTGCAGCCTGTGAGTTTCCCGTCCTAGACCACAAACCCTCCAACCACGACCTAAGGAACAGGAAGGGCGTTGAAAGACCATTTGGACCAGATCACTATTTCTGGAATATTTGGGGGAATTTTTCTTCTTTTTTTTTCAAGGTCTCCATTAATGAAAACAACCTCAGTGGATTTCTTGTTTTTTTTTTTTTTAATTATTTTTTAATCCTCACCCATTGATTTTAGAGAGAGGGAAAGGGAGGGAGTGGGAGGGAGGGAGAGAGAAAGAGAAACGTTGATCAGTTGCCTTTCATATGCACTCTGACCAGGGATCGAACCTGCAACCTAGGTATTTGCCATGACTGGGAGTTGAACCGATGACCTTCAGGTGTATGGGATGATGCTCCAACCAACTGAGCCACACTGGCCAGGGCTGATTTCTTGTTTTAATGCTTTGTCACCTTCCATCCTTATAAAGTTGACCTTTTTTAAAATTTTTATTTTTCTGTATATTTGAAACAAATTTCCCAGGATCTTTCTCAACAAAACCTCCTAAACTCTTAAAAATCATTAGGAAAATTCCCATTTTTATGTGAATGCTACAGAGAGAATTTTTTAAAAATTAAAACTGGATTGTTGAGATATTCACACAGACCCATTGATTTTCTATTTCAGAACACGTTTGAGATCCAAGCCTATTTTCCCTCAACCCATTGGTATGACTATAGCACGGTAAGAACAAGCGGAAATATTTTGTGAAGAACCGGGGTGGTCCATGCAGGCTGGAGAGGTGGCTGGAGTTTCCTCCTGACTTCCAGACACCCATTTGATGAGGCAATAGCGTTTAACTGTTCAGCGCTGTACAAGGTTTCTTTAAACAAAAGTATCCAGTAAAGCATAACTAGGTCAAATCTGACTCCCACATCACCCTGAGTCCTCCCCCATCCCCCACCTTTCCTGGAGAATAAAGAGAGAAGACCGGATTTCCAGAGTTTTCAGCAAAGCTGGAAATCGGAGATTCTCTTTTGGATTTGCAATGTTTTGCTGACTTCCCAACGCACGGCCTTGGGGAGGACGGACTGGTGAGGAAGCTCGCATTCGTTTCCCCTGCCACTGACCCTCACCTGTCTTCCCTCTCCACTCCAGGGAATTGGCAACACCTCGACAGGCGAGTGGAGAACCCTGCAGGCTCCCCTCGACCACATCAACCTTCACATCAGAGGAGGCTACATCTTGCCTTGGCAAGAGGCGGGAATGAACACCCACTCCAGGTGAGAGAGGCGCGGTGCTTCACGCGGCATGCTCTGGTGGGGGGGCGCCCACAGCACCGGGGGCTCTGTGCAAAAGTAACCCTGGTCCCACGCCGCCGTGCACTCCTCCGATGCTGTGAGCGCCCTCGGCGCGGGACCTGGAGGAGGACAAGCTCATCACGGCGGCCTCGGCCTTGGGGGAGACAGTTTCTGTGGAGCTCTGTGTCAGAGGGCAGGGCAAAAAATTTGCGGGGCACAGCAGAACGTACCTGTTTCTGTACTATTAAAAATTTGGGACATACTGATGAGCTCTTTGATCTGTGATGGCTATCCAGTGCTCAGTCCCTGTTCTGAAAGCTACTGAAAGGTTTCTGTTTGTTTGTTTATTTGGGGGTGTCTTCTTCCTATAAAGTAGTTTCTCATCATATTACTTATAATATGTAAGTAAAGGATGTGTATTTGGTTTTTGAAATGTTTCATTAAACTTTAAATATTATTTCTATTACCTTTGAATTATCTTGCATTTTATCTCATATTACATGTTTTTGGAGATTTATGTGCATTTTAACTCCATCACCTTTCTTTTGTTGTTCTGAATAATAGTTTCAGTAGATGCTGTCTTTTATTCTTACAACTTACTATCTAGAGAAAAATAACTTTTCTGTTTCCATAGTCGACAAAAATTGATGGGATTGATTGTTGCTTTGGATGACGCCGGCGGAGCTGAAGGCCAGGTGTTCTGGGACGATGGAGAAAGCATCGGTGAGTTGGAGCTTCCTGTGTTCTCCGCGCCACTCAGAACAACCGCACCCCCGTGGTTCGGGGTGTAATCGACATAAACTGAAAATCCATCTCATTTCTGCTGCTGTTAGTAAAGTAGTGATGTCGGGAGAATTTTTGCACCGTTTACCTGCTTATCTTGATATTACACTGTAATTATTATAGAGGAGTATGTGATCCCCAGCTTTGTAGGTTCAGCAGACTGATGTCGTAGCTTCAGCTGGGGTGGACTCTCTCTGTATAACTGTCTCACTCTGATAAAAAAACAAGTGTGGCTGCAAATATCAGGCTGACAGTTCACTCAGGCTCGCTGGCCCGCGGACCTGGCTGTATGGTTCGGGCCGGCCGTGTGTCTCCAGCCACCCTTTTCCTCCTAAGCAGGGACACACGGGAGACAAATCAGGGCTTAGAAGATTTCCTAGTGTCTCAGAAACAGGGAATTGTATATTGTCAGAAGAATACCTCCATCAAAGAAATAGTACTATGTATGCTTCCTTTCCTCAGTCTAGGGATGCGATAGTTCTACTTTAGATCATCGGTATTTGTCGCTGTAATGAAAACATCCTCATCCTGAGACGTTTCCATGGAAATACTGATGCACCGTTAACCAACCAACCCCATTTTCCAATACTTATTACTGTGGACCACCCTGATCTTGTAATATGTCACATGTCCCCAAATTATAGCTTATTTTTCACTAGTAGTATTTCTAAAGGTTTCCTATTAACACCACTATAATTAGCGTATTCCACTGAGAGATTATGCCATAATTTATCTGTCGATAATTATTTTCTGTACAGGATACAGGATACTTTCACTTTTTATTTTTGTAAATAACATCCTCGAGTATTAACCTTTATTTTTATTTCAGATTATTTCCATAGAATAGATTCCTAGAAGCGAAATTACTGTTTTTTTAAAAAAGGTCAACTTTATTGAGTTATATTTCATAAGTTAAACGTGTCCATTTTAAATATATAGTTTAATAAGTTTTGGCAAATGTAGATAGTTGTTTAGCCATCACAACGATCAAGGTAATGGAATCTTTTTATAAACATGGAGGCTTAATTACACAGACAGATAACATGTTTTAATATGTACAGAGGATTCCTGGCCCATGAATACGGATAAAAAGTATCATTATCATGCAGGATAAATAAACCTCCATTACAAGCTGTTAAGGTGAGATAGTTCACACTTAAATCACTGTGGTTAATCTTACAACAGAAAGTTCCAAGTCAGAGAACTTGGAACAAAGGAGATCCAGGTTTTACGGGAGTGGCAGGACCCAAGCCTCGTGAGAGAGGGATATGCCCCAGGCCATGTTTTACATGTAACAGCAGTGCTCATGAACGGACTAGAATATTCCCACCGACTGGGAAATGCACATTTCTCCTTCAGTTAAAGATGAAATTTTCATCAAGGATTTGTTTGGTGAGCAGGAATTCACAGCAAAAAGAGTCAGTGTCCATGACGAGGTGTTCAACACTCTGTCGCTTCAGAGACACGCTTGCCAAAGGGACTCCAGATGATTCGCATGGTCAGATCATGCCAAGAACATACGTGGGTGATGAGGCAGGAAGTACTGGGTTGGCCAAAAAGTCCTTTATGTTTTTTTCCATATGATGTCTCAGGTAGTGCTTAGTTGTCTTTAACTTCATTCAAAAAACAATTTGGTTAAATTGTATTATGACAGCTGTCATATCAGCATGTGTTAAAAAAAACTTATCAAAAATTGGTGAATTTTTGCACAGCCATTTTAATACTGAAGATGGAAGAAAATATGCAACATTTTCAGCATATTATGCTTTATCATTTCACAAAAGGTAAAATCACAACTGAAATGCAAAAAAAAAGAGATTTGTGCAGTATATGGAGAAGGTGCTGTGACTGATCAAACATGTCAAAGTGGTTTGCAGAGTTTCTTGGTCCTACTGACATTTTGGCCAAAGAACTGTTTGCGGTGGGGCTGTCTTATGCACTGGAAGATGTTTAGCAGCACCCCTGGCCTCTGCCCACTAGAATCAATAGTGGGAGATAGCTAACACACTAAAAAAATCCAAACCAATGAAGTTATTGGTGAAAATTTAAAAATATGCCTTTTATTTTACAGAAAAAACTAGACAGAGTTTTTGGCCAACCCAATAACTCCATCATCAGGGTATAAAATGTGGGCAGTAAAGCCAGTTTAGGGAAGAATGAAATACGAGGTCAGCTTGGCACACTGGGGGTCTGAGATGCGTGTGGGGTCTCCTGGCTGGAGAGAGACAGGCGGGGTTTGGACATGTGGGTGTGATGATTGGCTGAAACCCTGGTGAGGAGCAGAGCAGCAAACCTTGGGGGCATAGACCGGGAGCATAATGACACGTAAAAAGCATACCCTGTAAGCACGGGCTGCAAACCAAAGAGTCACAGGTTCGATTCCCAGTCAGGCCACATACCTGTGTTGCAGGCCACAGCCCCCAGCAACTGCACATTGATGTTTCTCTCTCTTTCTCCCTCCCTTCCCTCTCTAAAAATAAATAAATAAAATCTTTTTTTTAAAAAAGCATACACTGGATTGTAAAGGTGAATCAGTAGAAATTTTTTTGGAAAAGCATATTTTTTATGAAAAAGAAATACCTTCCTTTTCTTTTAGTTCTTGGTCCTGACTTTAATTTTTTTTTATATAATAGCATTATTGAGATATAATTCACACACCAAGTAATTCAGCCATTTAAAGTGTACAGTTCATGGTTTCAGTCTATGCACCAAGTTGTTTAAGTATTATGCAGTTGATTTTAGAACAGTTTCTTCACCCCCTAAAATAAGCCCTGTACCTCTCAGCTATCACCCCTCTATCCCCCACCCCCTCCCACTATTCTCTCCAACCCCACAGAATGCATGCAGCCCTAGGCATTAACTAACCTACTTTCTGTCACTGCATGTCTACATATGCTGCAGTTTTCATATAAACGGAATCATGTGGAGCCATATAAATGCAATAACTACAGTCTT